GAAGTTTCGAACGTCAGAGTTGTAGGGTCAGCGGAAATGAAGGTTCAACTAGTAGTGAACCAATATCATTTGCACCGCCAGAGGGAAAGCTTGCGGCGAGATACTATTAGTAGTGGTCATGGGATCTGACTCATGTATAAAATTATCGGCAAATGTTACATACTGGTTGAGTAAGTTAGTTGGTGTTGACGGATCATCTGAGGGGCGTCAAGTGCCACGGAAGGAGCTGCAAACATTTAAGTTGTTTCCCCACTCAGAACTGATACTCAACGTTCAACCCTGGCCTAAACCTTTTTATACATAACCGACGTCCTCCGATTTGGGACGTCTAAACTCAAAATCGAGACTAGCCTATACCCTAAGTGACATGATTGCCGACAGGGTCTTTCGGAACTTGGTTACGAATTTCTGGTGCCGAGAGATCAGCACATTGGAATGCAGGGAGAATCCAAGAAGAATTTCTGTATCGGAGCAGGGTTGACCATCTTCGTGTAAGCTTGAAATTACGGTAGAGTGAATTGAATTTAAATACCGTTACTCTCCAACTTGAAGGGGTAAACCGGCGAAGATGTTTGCTGACACAGATTCTGTTAGCATCGACTCACGTCCCTCTGACTTTAACGATGGAGCCGAGGCTATCATCTTGATGAACACCGCCCTTGAGACTCAACTTAAAAGAGCAGGCAAGGGTGTCCATCACTCCGAGTCAAGAAGCTCCGCTCCACAAAGTCACAAGGACTCCTGCCCTGGCCCAGGTCAGTCGCATGGGCAAGGTGGTCCAGTATATTCCTGTGGGTGCTATACGTATGGTGAGCTTGGCAGGTTTGAATTGCTCACATCCAGGCCAAGTAACTCACAGACTAGCTAAAACAGAACGCGAAATGGCACTGGCACTCGGAAGTGACCCGAAGGACATCCAGCCTTGGTTTGGTCCCCACCATGACAAGGATGTCAATGAGTTGCTGTCACGTCCGAGTCTAAAGCGAAAGAGGTCACAGGACGACTTGAATGATGTAAGTATGTCTAGCTTTATCTTTCAAGTTATGCACTTACCGTAGAGATGGGCAGAAAGCATCATGGAAACATGATGATCTCAGGAGGAAATTTGAATACATAGTTAACGAAATTGGGTATGTGCTAGAAGCTGTGAGTAGACTTGAGGCAGCCATTAGCAGGCAAGATGGAGTCCTTATTGAGGTCTGTAATGCGATTGAAAACCATGGCATGTGATGTTACCTGATGCTTGATAGTAGTTGTATGTCGTTGATGTAGACCCTTCTGGAGCAATATGTAGTCGCAATCAGTATTGACGCCATTCAGGTACTTGACTAGGAGCGCAGAATTACCCGAGTGAGTGCTTCAAAGAATATATTACAAGTGGCCAGCCGCCAGCACCGTGACCCGCGGCTTGTGCAGTGCCATACATCGATGTCAACATGTGCGTCGTCGACGGATTGAGCTTCAGTAGCAGTAATTGAGCTTGACTGCCACGCTGGTCGCAGACGATATAACGTGGTATAGGGAAACGGTCGACCAGCAAGTCCTGTGTGTACAGCGAGTTAGAAGCTGAATTGTCTTGGCATACAAAAACCTTGTTATGTAAGCTAATACGTTCAGTTTTTGCACTTCCTGCGTTTCAAGTTGGTAAGCATTTTTTGAGACGGGCCGTTCAAAATGTTCCCTAAGGTAAGCCTGCCGATGCTTGAAATGGCATGTACTTAGTGCAATAACAGTGGTCACGGGAGCCTTTCAAGCATGCCCTGGGCTTGACGGTGTCTATCCTATGATGTGAGTGGATATGAACCTTTCTCCGAGTATCTGTTGTGCTACAGTACTGACACTACGGTGATACCTGCTCTCTGATTTAGTCCGTGCTCTACTTTTTACCTCCGGCTGTCATCTTTAACACGCGACGCACGGTCCTCACGATTTCCTCATGCCTCGTTTTATTTCATCTCACCTTTATACCTATCTTGTACTTTCCCTTTGGATCTTTACTGTCTGTCTTCTTGCATCCTATCCAGCAAAACGTTGACGGCACGCATAACTTATATCCTATACTCCATCTTCATCGCATCTTTGATTATTCTCTCACACGCAACGCACGACAAATTTTTATCCAATCATCGCTCATCAGCTGGTTGATTACCGGTGAGTAAACTTCTTTGCAGTATGTTCTTGCTTTGCTCACAATTCCCTATATTTGAATGCAAAAGGTGGTTACCATTACTGCATCTACACACAATTTGTACTTTGCACGCGGATCAGGCTCAAGAAATCCATTCCAGCTCGAGCCCAAATTGTTAGGGTTGAGCACGGGCGAACCCGCGGGTCGCTGAAGCCCCACCACACCCATATCCTCAAACACCGTACCCGCCACGGTACAGGTGTACACCGACCCGCCAATTCTGCGGGTATGAACAGTGTTTGCGGTATACCGCGGTTTTTTTCACGGACACGCGGGTAAGACGAGCAAGACAGTTTTCACTCTCTCAGCGCAAAAGTCTCGAAAGTCGTTAGAATGACTACATATGGTTTGTATGGTGTTACATTGTATATCGCGCACATGTCCATCATGTCCAAACGTTTAACCTCATTCCAGCCTCTGAAAACTTCCATCCCACATGGTCTGATATTCGTAAGTCCGTTCGGAATAGATTCCAAAGCAGCTTACCTAGATGTCCTAACGTGCAACTTGAAGTCCCAGGAGATGCTCCAACTCCTGGATTTCCATCTCGAAAATCCGGTGTTCCCTTGCGATCCAAAGCACTATCATCGCGCGCGTTACTTCTGACAAGACCGGGGGCTGAGGGCGGGGCTGAAGTGGTACTTCAGGGTTGTAGAGTTCTTGACGCACGCGGACTCGCGCACCGGCCCATGTAAGGTACATTAATTGCTTTGAAAATATTAACATTGTAACTCCTGAACGAGCCGTTACTTACGAGCTGTCTTTCGGTCAGCGTGAAGGTCACGTCCCGAGGTTTTGGTACGAGTCGTAAAAGGTGTGGATGAATCTGTAGAATCGGTAAGCAGTGATTATTATAAAATCCTCAACATACCTGGTGATGTTGGTTTCCGTTTGCATTCTGATTTCCGACTCCCCCGTTGGCATCCGCGTGGTTGTTCATACTTGTGCTGAAGTGGTAGATGATTTAAAGTGAGTTAATGTTTCCCTTCGTCGTTTGAGCTATCATCTAAGAACATATCCCGATTTGGATTAAAGTTATATCCCCGGCATTTTCCGAAACGGCGCGCGCGGTGTGTGACATCTGCTCATTGTTTAGCGGTTGTATTTACTATATCCTAGAAATACATACATAAAGTCAATCAGATGGTGGTGACTTTCTTCAGGAATACTTGAAGATTTCCGCGGATTGGGCAGACCTATCCGTTCGAGGTTTGTTAGACATGTTTACTTCGAACTTACTAACCTTCTTCAGGAATACCTGGAGGATTCCGCGGATTGGGCAGACCTATCTGTTCGAGGTTTGTTCGACATGTTCACTTCGAACTTAACCTTTTTCAGGGATACCTGGAGGATTCTGCAGATTGGGGAGACTTATCCGTTCAAGGTTTGTTCGACATGTTCACTTCGAACTTAACCTTTTTCAGGAATACCTGGAGGATTCCGCGGATTGGGCAGACCTATCCGTTCGAGGTTTGTTCGACATGTTCACTTCGAACCCTTTTTCAGGAATACCTGGAGGATTCCGCGGATTGGGCAGACCTATCCGTTCGAGGTTTGTTCGACATGTTCACTTCGAACTTGACCTTTTCCAGGGATGGTGCGTGTTCATCTCCCACTTTACTTTCGTGTATTGATGTATCCACATGTTGATACCGATACCAAAGTATACCCTGAGTTGCTGAAATATGTTGTCAACTGTATGCACCACGACCAAATGATCACGGGCGTCTGCGGGGAGGCCCACGTACTAAGTTAACAAATACGATTCCTGGGTCACCGCCATCCAAGTCTTGGAATACTTCATCTCCCACCACTTACTAGCCAAAGCCTTCTAATCCGTCTTTGGTGGTGTTTCATGTTTGCCAGGATGTTTCGACTGGAAGCGCGCAAAACGACGGGTGACAACTGGATCCCTCTCATTGTCAAGCCTGAGATGTATGGTGTAAGTGTACTAGTAGTACGTCAGCTGCCTTCATTCCTTCTTGCAAGAGCTCATCCAATCCTCGCTTAGTTGACCGATGTCCGATCGACCCTTCTCCCATCGCATCATCGACCCACAAACTCATCAACCTCTCCTTCTCTAGTTCTCTAGCTCGCATAGATGACGATGATTCAGACCCAAGCTATGCTCATAGCTTCCTTCAAACCCCCAGTTATTACTTCCAGTTAGCAAGTCTGGCAAAACTTGTCAACGACACCGAACTACACTGGCTAAAGGTCAGTATGCTACTGTCAAAATAATCTCTCTATGATTGCTAACTGTCAGGATGGGGAAACATGGTGTACGACACGTTCGTTGTGTCGTCCGCTTTCATTCAGGGATTATTGTTGACTGTTCTGATCGGCTCCGTGGGACAGAAAATGATGTTAAGTTAAAGTTGCTGAACCGGAACCCGGTAATTTTTATTTATTTAAACCCTTCATACCTATTAATGACTGCAATCCTTTAATCACCGTTAGTTCATTCCAAGCTGAACATGAAGCCCTAAGACGTAAATTGTCCGCATTAGTTGAAATACGCCGGATCAAAACATTGCTGATCTCCCATACTTCAGGCAGCCGTGGCACACCTTCCCCCACTTCCACACCTCTTCCATCCACCTCTTTCAACATTCGTCTTTTATGTCACAAACCAGCTCCCAAGGCGACAGCCCGCCTTCTGAAGTAGCAGCCTTGAAGAGGCGGCTGGCTGTTTTGGAGGCACAAAATGCAGAACTCCGCAAACAGCCGGTGGAAGAGAAAAGGTGCGTAAGATCATCTAGCATTTGGTTATCCTTTGAGCCATTGATTCGACAGTGAACGCCTTCATCTGGAGGGTCGGGTGATCCGCCGACTCGTCTGCCTTACTGAACGTGTTGAAGACCTCGTCACAGAGTTTGACAGACGTGTGACGCTGGGTATCGACTCAGATGATGATACTAGCTTGAACGACTCCGAGTAGGTCCTTTCGCATGTACATTTACTTGCACTAATTATGTCCACTAGGGACGACAGGAGGTACCGATCGTACAAGAAATTAGCCACTTGGTGTCCAACAGTTCGTAAGCTTGTACACTCCGAGGTTGAGAACAGGGAGCTCTCTTACATATACAGCAAGGTAAGACTTGCAGACCCCTTGGTGACGAGGCTAATTGACACTGTTCGTAGTTAAATAAAGGCGCTGATGGAGCAAGGGGTGATGATACGACACGGCTCAAAGTTGTTGTTGCCTCATGGTTGATGCAACAAACCCCACATCCGACCCCCATCATCCATGGGCAGAACAAATTGGGTCGCGGATTTAACAATGATGCAACTGGACGGCTCATATGCCCCGTCGATTACGACTGGAATGATCCAGTGTAAGTTTTGTTTACTTCACAACGTCTTTGCTGACCAATGAGGTAGCGTCCAACAAAGCATCAGGGATTATCACCCTGATTATCGAGTTACGGCTCACTCGTGGCCTTCTTTTTTATATAAGGACGAAACATACGACCCACTGAAACCTACAGATGGTTTATTCAAAGGGCAATTCCTTTTAAAGGTACGTTTCGTGATGATGAAGGATCGTATACTGACGTCGCTTGTAGACATTCAAATACATCTTCACGTCTCCCACTTCTGCAGAGATGGACGAGCAAGAGCAGCTCAGCCCGGAAGTACTTTCCACACAGGGTCGTCCAAAGCAGCGAAGGACCAATGGCGAATGCCGCACTCGTTCCAACGTGGCTGGGCTGTTGAACATGAAATCAGTCCAACCAAGGTCGATTGCATACGCAGCTGTGCAGGTAAGTATGACGGATCACTTTTTATCAATGCACTGCTGATGCAGGCCATTTAGCTTAGGTTTGCTTTGTCTAGCACGGGATCATGGCGTATTGTAGACGACGAGTTCAACCATCAAGAGTTCTACGACAATATCGTTGACTTCTTCGAGCTTGCCGTGACATCAGACGCAGCTAAGGAAGTAGAAGACCTCTTACTTTGGTGGAACCGGTGAGTCATCGTATATAGCTGTAACCGTCTAATGCTGTTCTGATTATACTGTAATATTCAATAGCAAGGTTTTCGGACGCAAGCATGTGTCCACCTATCGGCCCCAAAGAGTTGAACAACTCTCCGTTGCTCGGTGTTCGGCCAGACATTAGCTCAGCTTTTGCAGACTAGATTATGCTCGTTGTTTGCGCTGTATTATATTAGTGTGTACTGTTGATATGTATGAGCAAACATTTTGTGTTGTCGAGTATTCAAATGACAAGTGGCCGTGATTTTGATTTTTAACGGAATTTTGCTGTATTTTACCTGTTGCATATGTAGGAGATTCAGCAATTTAAAATTGGTAATATAGTATCTAATGGCCATTCATTCGCTGCGTCTCCATGATTTGTTCGCACTGAGAAATGATACCTTTATTACAATTATGAGGCTGTCACCCATCTATGGTACAGGTAGCCAGATACTATATTTCTTTAATATCTGCGAAACAATCCTTTGCATGCTTGAAATGTTGTACAGCAGACACTCTTTTAAACAATTTTCATTCATATAAGTGCAGGTCGACTTGACCTACTTTGCGATCAAGATAACATAGAATCTTTGATGACAATCAGACGTTCTAGTCTCACAAGTCTATTAAGTCGGGAGGATGACAAATATCAAGGCACAATTCACTTGTGTACCAATGCTAGCATGAAGATTGATACGGAAAATGTAGGCGCAACTGGTAATTACCTTGCACATCGGTCACAAAATGATACGTGTTAGTTATCAATCGTGTACTCATAAATATGTAGCACAACTAGTAATTGGATCACGATGTTTCAAATTTGTCCTGTATACACTTATCAGACATGGTTATCGATGAGGTTTTGTAGCACAACAACGAAATTCATGTGATTGATGCCGTACACCAATCCCTATGACTTTCCTTGATCATGTGGGATAGCGTTAAATATGCATAAATGACTTTATATGAAAAACAACCCTGGTACTTCTGTCAATCTATCATACAGATTAGCCATTGAATGCACTCTCGTAGACAAGCTGCATGAACAACCACAATGCTCTAAAGTCTACATACTGCTTGGTGTAAACCTATTTTGCACACCTGTAAATCAGATTCAATGTATCAATAATCGCAATTGTGCAACTACCACCAAATATAGCATCAGGAAAACCCTCCCCAGGGAAATTCGTCTAAACTATGATAATATCCTCTAAACTATGATAATTCTCAATAATCATTGAGAATTATCGAGAATTATCGGCTTTAGAAGGACTAGGAAGACTATTTTGTTTAGAAGGACTTTTTTACTGCCTTATTTTTCAAGGATAATTATCACAAATTACTTGATATTAGACTACAATATTGTGAATTTCAGAGAGTATATTTCAAACTTTGCATATTGAATCACACACATCAGACAGTGTTACAAGTAAAACGGACTAATATTTGATCAGAAGATATACATAACACTAGTAATTACTATACAGCTATATGTGCTACAAATGACTGCAAATACCCAATCCCTGGCTTGGATAAACGAAGCCCATATAAATTGTACCCCTTGCAACAAGAATGAGTGCAGACATTTAAGAACGAGCGCGGACAAGCACTTACAAGTGTAGATGAGCATCGGGCGCGGGGGTATACAGATGTCGAAAAACTAGAATGACTAAAAATGAGTGCGAACGAACGAAAACAAGTGCAGATAAAAGCACTTACAAGTGGACACATGGCATGTGTGGACAAGCACATGAAACACGAAAAAAACAAGCTGGAATGAGTGGGGGGTGAATAAAAATGAGTATAGACAAGCAGTATAACACTTACAAGTGACCAGGCTGGGGCAGGGCTAGTGGAAAGTAGGAGCCGATGCTAACACAAGCAACATACCGGCGTGAAGATCATGAACTAGCTGAGAGCAGGACACAGCCGCGGCACCATCAGCGTCAGACCCGCAGGTAATACATATAAATATCAAGTTAGAAATATGAAAAAACGATTGTAAAAAAAGATAAACTCACCAAGACACTGCGAATGGTGGGCAATAACTTCAATCAGCGTGGCTTGAGCTCGAAGGAGAATCGACACACTGCAAACAGCAGACGACTTTGATCAGCACGGCTCGAGCTTGAAGGAGGGTTGACAGACTCACTCACTGCGAACGGCAGGGAACAACTTGGACCAGTGTGGCTCGAGCTCGAAAGAAGATCAACAAACTCACTCACTGCAAATGGCGGGCAACAACTTGGATCAACATGGCTCGAGCTTTAAGGAGGATTGACAAACTCACTCACTGCGACTCCCCATCTAGAGTCGAGTCTACATGCGCTGCGTGCGAGCAAGAACGAGAGTGTGATGAGCAAGAATGAGTGCCAGCAATAAACACTCACAAAGATCGTTTGATGGTGGTGAAGAGGCTCGAAGACAGCACTTGGGATGTTGAAGACTCGAATGTGATGTGGTGGTGGTGGAAGAGAGCGAGTGAAAGAATTTCGAACCACAAGTGAGTGTGAGAGTAAACAAGCACAAATATTCAACAAAGTTCTTTGTTTATTTGTTTACACGTGTTGTCCTTGTTGACATCGGATATCACTAAGTCCATCAAATTGTCCTACTCAGGTACCTAATACTACTCACTCGTTGGAATTCCTTATTCTCATATGAGTTATCATCCCACACTGTCACATCCCATGAGAGTGGACTGTTGATGAGTGATTGATATATGATAATTGTAATACTTTTTTTTGTTGAACTTGTATATAAATAGATACACTTTTTGTATTTTCAAATAATTCTCGATAATCATATCATCTTTTGGTGCTTTTTATCCTAATATCTGTAATTACACAGAATTATCTAAATTACATGTTTTATGAAAATTATGTGATTTTTGCCCTGGGAGGGTTTTCCTGATGAGGTCCGTGTGACGGTCATGAGTAATAGAGGATAGCGTTTTAAGGGCATAAATGACTAGATAGTCTGCGCTGCCACATTTTAGCCAAATATGAACATTATTTACATGATAACGTGTATATAAAGGTTGATAGGAAATCTTGGTTTTCAGTGATGGAATGGGCCACGGAATCAGTGAGAAGGAAGGACGGGGGTAAAGATATGGGGAATGTGGATAGAGTTCAGCTGAGAGGGAGGTTGAGGGTTCAGACGTTCAAGTCATGCTACACGTGTATTTCCTAGTGATGGCCAGGTCCGGTCCTGAACCACGGTTCGAACCCGAACCGTTTCGAACCTGACCGAAGTCCGGTTCAAAGTTCGGGCAATAGGGGGAACCGAACCGTCGGTCCAGTCCACGGTTCGAGGACTTGCAGAATTCTCGAACCTGGTTCGAACAGGTCCGAACAGGTTCGAACCGATTGTCAACGAGGGATGGGTGAGCGAGTCGCCCAGCATAGAGGAAATCGAAATAGTTTGTCTTCCAGACCTGCAACAGCCCCCGCAGGGAGCACCGCTCCACATATGGCGATCGTACCCACTCAAAGTTCACTCTCGCCAGCGCCTTTTGACTGGATGCATTTTGAAGGACGGAGTATCAAAACCACGCTCTCCAACATTCTTGGAGTAGATGGTCTTGCACGTGAGCGAAAGTGGCGAGCACATTGTGTTCTCAGCGTGGATCTCGGCCGAAGGGCACGAGAAGGTGTCGAAGCTGTATGTCCTTGTACTTTTTTGAAACGTACTTTATTTGATCATTTTTATGCAACCAGCTCATCCCCCACGCAGACGTCATCTTCCTTTCAGCGCAAACATTTCCCTCGCTCTCTAATCCCCAGTTTAACGCTGTCAACCCTGGCCCACCTTCTCCGCGCGCTATCCTCCTTGCGCTCGCACGACACGCATCTCCACACGCGCTCCTTGTATTATACGGAGGTGCCCTTGGTTCAGCCCTCCTCTCCCTTCCCACTCGTGAATACCTCCAATCCTCTTCCTGGTCTCCACTCCCGATGGGCAGATCCCATGCACACACCAACTCCAACTTACACTCCATCATCTCCACCGCTGAGGGTGTCGAGAGCGTGCGCAGCGGCTCAGAATTTTGGGCTGGCCGCCGCAGCCCCGACTCAAGCGGGTTCACCATGGGTGATAACCCCTCACCTGCCCGAAATTGTGACAGCGGATACTCAGAAGACCACGACGACGAGCCAAGAAGACTTGCTGTACCGTGAAGTGAAGGTGCGTGTTCTGGTGCGCTTCGTAGGGCTGCCCAGACGCGACAAGCGGTAGGATCGCGTTCAGGGCGCGAGAAGATGAACCGGATTGTATATGAAGTTTGACATTTTTTGGGTCCGGTTCTCGGTTCAAACCCTTGCTGAACCGGAACCGGACCATTATTGGACCGAACCGATGGTCCGGTCCACGGTTCTGCTTACTGAGAGGACTGAACCGATGGTCCGGTCCACGGTTCTCTGAATTTCCTAGAGAACCGGACCGAACCGGACCTGTCCATCACTAGTATTTCCACATTGTCGAGGGCTGTTGGGCAGTGGGCCCGATCATGATATAGACGCTGGTATGATTGCACTAAGCGCTGGGAATTGAGATCACCGACCCGTCCTCAGGGAAAGTGGCCGGTCGAGGTCGAAGGGGGGATGCGAGTCTCAGATTGATTGGACTTGTACTACTCAGTCAGCACACCAAGGCAAGATGTAGAATCGAGTGTATTTCGTATCGTAATTAGGCTCGTGGTAATGCGAATTTAATGTTTAAACCACTGAAGACATCACGCTAAGAACCAAATGATGGTATACGACTCATGCAATTGAGCTGATAACGAAGGGAGGATGATCTCGGCTGGATAGAGGAATGAGAAAAGAATGTCCACTTGAAAAGCGAGGATGCAACCTACTGTATATGCTCAGGCTGCTGCGACCGCTGCCGGATTTCCCAAATCACCGAATATAGTACATGGGGTGAACTGACACGAGCAACAAACTGGTTCTCAAGGACTTACTTCAAGTATTACTACTTCGAGTGATGAATGAAGTCAAAGAAAATGCTTCCAAGAGCTGACAATAGTACAAGAGGGGATGTAAAGTAAGTATCAAAGAAGAGATCAGGTACACCAACGGGATGAAAGATCAACAACTCGTGAATTACTGTAATGCGACTTAGAACTACACACCAATATGAACAAAAACCATCCTCTGCTCGAGCGGCACTTTCGTTTTCACCGAGTGCGTAGCACAGTTGAGCGCCCAGGCCGCCTTCGTGCAGTCCATGACACCACCATCCTTCAAATCTCCGAACATATACTTGTAAAAAGCTTCAACGACGTGTTTTGCGACAGAGTCGTCGACCTCCCACAACGTGCCAACGGCGCTCTTGAAACCCGAAAACTGGAGACCAGCTGCGAGGTGGATCACTTCGTCGGGCGTCTCCTCGTCGCCGACGGCGGTATGACAAGCCGATAAGAACGCGAACTCGGCCTGCGGAATATGTCTCTCCATGATATCAAGCAGCGTCAGATGTTCGTCTCTCATGACAAAATGCGAGTCGTAAGGCTGCGTAGGGTCCTGCTTGCCATGACAAGCAAGGTGCACCCAGGTGTTCTGCTGCAAAGCTGAGAGTGCACCTGCTCGTGTGGCTTCATCGCCAGAAATAGTGGTGCGGTTGGCCGTCGCGGGCACGAGCTTATGGACAAGCTCGAGCTCGCTATCAACAGCCAAGAGCGCTTTTCCCTTCCCTGCACCCGGTTGACCCTGTCCGATTGCCACAAAGGACGGAGGCGCGCGCTTCTTCATCAACTGTCTAGATCTGATCAGAGCAGAAAGCGTCGGGGTGTAAGAGCAAATGTAGAGATCCTCCAAGCATGGCTCCTTCCCAGAACGATCCGCCTTTGTTTGGAACGGGTGAGCTGCATGGAGAGGAATGGACGTGAAAGCTGCAGTGGGACACAGCCAGATTCGAGAGCGGCGCTTTAGTTTGAGGACGTGTTCGAGCACGTTGACGATGGGCAGCATGATTTGGTCCCATATTATCCGCGAGAGAACTATTAGATCTGTCCTCGACTCCCCTGGGTTCATTCGAGATGAATCTCGTATTGCCCTGGCGAAGCGGTCCTTGAGATTGGTCAGATCTACGAGGGTGACAGACGGCAAAGGAACATGATGGGGGTCTCCTGACGTCGGGACGATGATGGCGCTGCATGAGTATTCACTCGCAACGAGGATGATGACTGGTCCCTGGCGCGCTGCCACTTGGAGGTCTTCATACGAAAGTGGGAGCAAGAACCGCGAGAACGCCGGAACATCACGTATCTTAGCTATCGCGGCTTCCCATTGTCTTGTAAGTCTCCTATACTCTGTTGCTTCCCGATCAGCAGCAGCTCTGTCGGTGATGGTAGCAGAACTCTGGGCTGCATTGGAAATGAGTTTGCTCAGCTCCAAATAATTGCGCGCCAGTGTCGGTTTTGCTGACTCGAGGTCTTCGACTGGAGTCCTGAGTCGAGACGCCAGCGACCACTGCTGGCCACGGCCCTGCTCCACAAGCTCAACTGCCCGCCGTAGATTGACATGACGTATAGCACATGAGGCTGCGTCTACAGGAAGTGACCGCGCATGACGAAAGGCGGTTGCAGCTTCGCGCCGTGAAATAATCGACGATCGCGTCATCACGTGGCTGTCAAAAAGCTCAAAGCACATTTGGTATGCTTCCAGGGCAGATTCATGTTGATAGACCTCTACTTGGCGAGCCCACTCAATAACCTCCATGATGCGTTCCGGAAATCCTTGAGTAGGATGTCTTGATGCAAGTCTGAAGTTCTCTATAGCGAGCGACAAATCAGCAGGGTCGTGTAGAATCTGGTAACGAGACATATAGGCTTCCCGTAGCCTGAAATATGAGTAGTGTCTGTCTGGGTGCAGTGAATGCAAAGCCTCCAATGATTGTTGGCAAAGAACAATGGCCTCCTCGACATCTTCATTCTTCTGAGTTTGCGTGAAACGAGAGCAGAGCACCGAGCTCAAATTGAAAAGAGTAATATGGCGCTCTGGATGGTCAAGCCGCCTTAACCGAAGGGATTCACGATATAAATCAATGGCCTCGTTGAGATCCTCGCTAACATGCGTTTTGACATATCTGGTTTTGAGCGCGAGGGCCAGGTTGTGAAGCGTGGTGTCACGACGTGGATGCCCAGGTGGGCACAACGTCAGTGCCTCGCGACGGAGGCTGATGGCTCGGGTGATGTCATCAATGTCGCCGCGTTTCTTGAAACGTTCGACGAGAACGCCCCCTAGGTTGTCCAATGAGAAATAACGAGATTGGTGCCCAACAGAATACAGGCGCAACGCTCCTTCGTGCAAAGAGATGGCCTCATCGAGGTCATTAAGTTTGCCTTGATGATCGAAGCGCGACGCGAGTGAGTTGGCCAAGTTGTTCAGGTAGGTACCACGGTCAGCATGTCCCTCGGGGCACAGAGACACGGCTTCACGACGAAGTTGTATGCTTGTGTCAAGATCATCGATGCTGCCGTGCTGATCAAAGCGTCCTTTAACTGCTTGTGCAAGCTCCATGAGGGCTCTGGGACGGAGTTGATGGCCCAGAGGACAAAGCTCGAGGACGACTCTTCGAAGATGGATGCCTTCATCAGATGCGTCTTTTGGAAGGTTGTTGCATCCGCCGATCACATACTCAACACCATTCTTCCCTGACGCGATGCTACGAAGGTACGTGCCCTCTGGACAGAGAGGCAGTAGTTCATGATACAGTTGGGCAGCTTCCCGGATGTCGGCAGCAGTACTTTTCTTGGAGTAGCGCCAAGTGAGCGCTTCGGTGAGATTGTATAGAGATAAGGGATGATCGGGATGGGGCTGCGGACGCAATGCAAGGGCGTCGCGGAAGAGGCAAGTGGTGGCATCGATGTCTTCAACATCATTTCGGGTGTAGCCTTGGAGGCGGGCCCACGCGAGGTTGGTGAGAGCCGTTGCATGATCTGGATGGCTGACCGGACACTGGTCCAGAACTAACTCAAAATGCTTTACAGCGTCGTTCAGGTGAGAGACTGTCTTGCTCGTCACGTATGCGGCAAATTGTGCGTGGCCCGCATCTGTGTCTCGAGCGATCTGGCAGTCTACGAGGGACTGCAGTTTGCGTTCTGTCAGCAAACGCTAACAGGACAGATACTACTAGCGTCACTCACATCAATCAGTGCGTCGTCCTGATCGTCGCAAGCATGTACAATGGCGGCCTTCAGCTTGAGGGAAGGTTTGACACCGAACACGGGTGGGAAGGATAAATCTACGAGACGTTAGTGTATGTGCATGAGTGAGAAGCGAATCACTCACCAAATGGCTCATTTCCATGATCCAGTAGCTCATCCCATGACATTTGAAGTCCTGCAATGACCTCACCGCCGCCTAGCATTCGACCAAGCTCATAGGACGCCCTGATCTCCACTGACAACGCAGGTAAGGAGTGTGATGATCTATAAACAGACGATCAGTTCTTGCATCGCGTCAGACAGTGTCCATGGGGTTTACAGAATGACAGTATTCCCCCACGCTGCAGATTTATCAGATGATAGGACACTGATGGCTGATTTCCAGCGCCTCCGGGAGTCGACATTGATGGATATGTAGATGCCAGCAGGAATGCGCCAGGAGGGGACCTGAAGATTCTTTCCGCTGATGACTGTAGATATTGTGTGAGGATGACAACAGATACGAAGGTGGTTCTGAGGGACTCGCCTTCCAGTCTGATATATCGACCTTCTGAGGTACCAGACATGATGGTGGATTGAGCAAATTGATGAGGATCGAGGATGGGCTGAATGGGCCACGGAATCAGTGAGAAGGAAGGATGAGGGTAAAGATATGGGGAATGTTGATAGAGTTCAGCTGAGAGGAAGGTTGAGGGCTACACGTGTATTTCCACATTGTCGCTCGAAGGGCTGTTCGGCACGATATAGACGCTGGTATGATTGCACTAAGCGCTGGGAATGGAGATCACCGACCGGTCTTCAGTGAAAGTGGCCGGTCGAGGTCGAAGGGGGGATACGAGTCTCAGAGTGATTGGACTTGCATCGTACTACTCAGTCAGCACACCAAGGCAAGATGTAGAATCGAGTGTATTTCGTATGGTAATGCGAACAATGTTAAAACCACTGAAGATGGCACGCTAAGAACCAAATGATTGTATACGACTCATCCAATTGAGCTGAATACGAAAGGAGGATGATCTCGGCTATATATAGAGGAATGAGAAAGAATGTCCACTTGGAAAGCGAGGATGCAACCTACTGTATGCTGCTGTGCTGCCGGATTGCGCACAGATATCAAACCAAGTACGGTGGGACTATATCATTGGCACCGGATGAAGAGGCCAGCATATCATGTAGCTATAATAGAAGCCTTGAAGGTGATGGGAACATATAGGGGAACAGCCAATCACCGAATGTATATGGTGAAGATGGAATGCATCGAGCTCGTGGTTCGTGCAGGCGGCCACTAGTAGGATGCCAATTCAAATTTCCATTTCAGTACAGACCGTGTTGCTTACGTGACGCAACTGCCACCCTCATATTAGTACCACCGACATCAACGACTCAACGTTTTGAAACACTTACTACATCATTTCATCATCCCGCCTCGTGGAATTTCAAACCAAGGTGCGCTTTTGCAAGTGTCTTTTTTTGGGCGCGTTCTGAATCTTGTCCAATTGCAAGGGTGTTTGGGCTTGTTTCTGTTGGTTTTCCGTGATAAAACCACATTGCTAACCACCTTCGCAGCATGTGTATAGTACTAGGTGTGTAGCGACTTGAAGCTTAAGTCTTTGCTCATTCTAACTGTTGTTTTAGGTCTTAATCATGTCCTTCGTCACTCATAATATTGTCCGTTGCACTCTGCTATCCCTTTCTGACATGCTCTCGCAAACCCCCGCCAGTGGTTTTCTACTTTTTTGCGCGTCCTTTCAGCAGTTTATATTTTCTCTAGCATGAAATACACAGGATTTTACATTTCACATTGCTATGTGTATAAGTGAATGGTACGACTCGACGATAAAATGAGTAGCAAGCTTCGCAGGATGCGCATGTTCCCTTTAAACTTGGCGTGCTACTTTCACTGATGACTGACCTTGACGTTGCGCAACTTTTTTAGCATGTGCAATCTCTCCCGCTAATATTCAATCGTCGGCCACCGTTCTCAGCACTTTGTATCATCGCACATATACATCAATAGAACATCCTGTGTGCGTTCAGTTTGCCTCGTATTAAAATGTACTCAAATGTACAAATGACCCATAGGCTCGTGGCTAGACTGGCGTATACTACCACAAACAAGTCGATTGCGAGACTAGCCTGTACGCGTGATTATAGCTAGAAACACAACAGACCTAGTCACAGTGAAAGCGCAGAATTAAACGCAAAACTCAAGCCATTGAAATTCACACATCCACCTTCAATACCGAATATGGTGTCTTTCGTAAGTACAGATGACATTCGGCAGGCTTCATATTTACCACTTCGCATGCGGCTCGCGCCATAGGACAACCATATACTTCCCCGTGCTGTCTTTGTTGACCATCGGTTCACAATATAATTTCACTCATGCTCGAGCTCATTATTGCATGGACCCTGCTCTACGCTTGTCTTCTGTGTCTCATATAACTTTCATGGGTTCCCTGATACCGACATTAGATCTCTGTCGTCTACCCAAATCAAACCTTCCCCATCTAACTCAATCAGACATGTTCTTCCCTCCCCCCTCGCCGCTCACCTTCCAAAGCTACCTTTGGAAAACATGGAGACACTTGTGGTCAACCGCTTGACCTAGTTTGTAGGATATGGCATCAAAAAACATGTAAGCACGTTGCACATTTTACTGATCTTCAAACCAACCTTTGTGTCCAGGAATGCATCACATTCCAGAGTTTGGATTGCGATGAACCTTCTTACGATCAATATGAACAGACTATGGTACGGGCGGTAGTAACTCTGGGATCGTTGTCTTGCAAGCTAACGTATCTGTTGCAGGATCCGTGCAATCCATATAGGATACTATTGGATGCTCTCCTGACAGTTCGCAGCCAGCAAACGTTCTGGAAGGCATGGTGCGTTTTGAAGCGAGTCTTCTGCATCTCTCTCGTTTACCTATATCATTTATAGAATAGAATATCCTCCTGAGAGGAGCCCTAGGAACGGGGGAAAAGACGGTCGCTCATGCGATCTGCAACATGCTCAAGCGCCCGATGCTTGACGTTCGGGCGAATGACATTCCATACCTTGCCGATGTGTAACCTTGGGCCGCGACACTAGCTTTGGTAAGTACCATCCGCAGACCGTGATGCATCTCTGACGGTGGCTTAGCTCGCGATCGAGTGGAATGCGTTGGTGGTCATAGATCATGGGGATGTAAGTATTGTCTCTCAAATAATCTATTATATTTCTCCTGAAGACACGTCACACAGTATTTAATGAACTCTGAACGTCCAGACGGTCGACTGTGTTCTTGATTGTTGTGCCGTTCATGCCATACCGGTATAACTAATTCTGTAGACTGTCAGGAACGCATCGACGTGATGATTCGAGAACTCGAGTCGCCTGGATCATCTATCTGTCTGTGGCCCTTGGTGTTGACGGACGAGCAGTAGGCACTGCTCAAGCCATTCTCTGCTGGTGCGTATCTCAGCTATCTAAACCCAACTGTATCACTCACTAACTTTCCTCTGTTGCAGCCATCAAATTTCTCGATCTCGATCTAGCAGCCTGTCGTCAATGTTGGCTACAAGTTGACAACCTTTCAACTATCTCTAGCAGCAAGCATGCACCCGTCCCTACCATGAGGGATACGAAGATGTGGACCTTCCTTTGGGAGATTGAGAAGATATCTTGGTAAGAACTCGATGGTGATGATATGATGTCTGACATTGGATGACTCGACACAGTGCTGACGATGCTAATAAGATATCGAAGATTTCATGAATATTGCACGAAGATTGGCTAGGTAAATTAGTTAATATGGGCTGTTCCTAACAACTAATCAGTGCCATGCAGGAACAAGATCCAACCCCTCAGCACGTAAAGAAGTCTCTCAAGGTCTTGGACGTGCCATTTTCTGTACGGAAAAAGGTAGCGCGGTTTTTTTAGCTTTGCGCAATGCATCCACTTGAGGAACCAAGTTTCTCAAGAACACGGTGAAGATGTGCCTGTTTGAAATGTGCTTGCTGCCTTGTGCTCCGTATACGTGCCCTGTGTATATAGCTTATGATATTCCATTGGCAATTGCAATAATATTGTGCATATCGTGTCCAGCGTAGCGTCAACACCAGATAACGCATCCTTGACGACGAGACCTGGTCAAAGTGATCAAGCCATCTTTGTCTTACACAAAATATAACATCATATGACTAAAGTACCGGTAGAAATCGTCACTGCCAACTTCCTCGGTAAGTGTCTGCAGTCAGCCATGGTATACTGCATGCTCCCAACGGAAATAATATAACAAATCGATTCCGCAGAACAGCAAAAGTTCCAGTAGTAAATGAAGTTACAAAAAACGCTTCCAAGAGTCGACAATAGCACAAGAGGGGATACGCAACTATCAAGGAACGGGCTAGGTACACCAAGGGATTAAAGATCAAAGTCTGTACCGGAGACTAGGATGAAAGCAATGCAAGATAGAACTACACACCAATATGAACAAAAACCATCCTCTGCTCAAGCGGCACTTTCGTTTTCACCGAGTGCGTAGCACAGTTGAGCGCCCAGGCCGCCTTCGTGCAGTCCATGACACCACCATCCTTCAAATCTCCGAACATATACTTGTAAAAAGCTTCGACGACATGTTTTGCGACAGAGTCGTCGACCTCCCACAACGTGCCAACGACGCTCTTGAACCCCGAAAACTGGAGACCAGCTGCGAGGTGAATCACTTCGTCGGGCGTGTCCTCGTCGCCGACGGCAGTATGACAAGCCGATAAGAACGCGAACTCGGCGTGCGGAACATGTCTCTCCATGATATCGAGCAGCGTCAGATGTTCGTCTCTCATGACAAAATGCGAATCGTAAGGCTGCTTAGGGTCCTGCTTCCCATGACAAGCAAGGTGCACCCAGGTGTTCTGCTGCAAAGCTGAGAGTGCACCTGCTCGTGTGGCTTCATCGCCAGAAATAGTGGTGCGGTTGGCCATCGCAGGAACGAGCTTATGGACAAGCTCGAGCTCGCTATCAACAGCCAAGAGCGCCTTGCCCTTCCCTGCACCCGGTTGGCCCTGTCCGATTGCCACGAAGGACGGAGACACGCGCTTCTTCATCAACTGTCTAGACCTAATCAGAGCAGAAAGTGTCGGCGTGTAAGAGCAAATGTAGAGATCCTCTAGGCATGGCTCCTTCCCTGAACGATCCGCCTTTGTTTGAAACGGATGCGCTGCATGGAGAGGAATGGACGTGAAAGCTGCAGTCGGACACAGCCAGATTCGAGAGCGGCGCTTTACTTTCAGGACGTGTTCGAGTGCGTTGACGATGGGTAGCATGATCTGGTCCCATATTATCCGCGAGAGGACTATGAGATCCGTCCTCGACTCCTTTGGGCTCATCCGAGATGCTTCTCGTATTGCCCTGGCGAAGCGATCCTTGAGATTGGTCAGATCTGCGAGGGAGACAGACGGCAGAGGAACATGATGGGGGTCTCCTGACATCGGAACGATGATGGCGCTGCATGAGTATTTACTTGCAACGAGGATGATGACCGGTCCCTGGCGCGCTGCCGCTTGGAGGTCTTCATACGAAGGTGGAAGCAGGAAGCGCGAGAACGCCGGAACATCACGTATCTCAGCTACCGCGGCTTCCCATTGCCTGGTAAGGTTCCTATACTCCGTTGCTTCCCGATCAGCAGCAGCTCTGTCGGTGATGGTAGCAGAACTCTGGGCTGCATTGGAAACGTGTTTGCTCAGCTCCAAATAATTGCGCGCCAGTGTCGGTTTTGCTGACTCGAGGTCTTCGACTGGAGTCCTGAGCCGAGATGCCAGCGACCACTGCTGGCCACGGCCCTGCTCCACAAGCTCAACTGCCCGCCGTAGATTGACATGACGTATAGCACATGAGGCTGCGTCTACAGGAAGTGACCGCGCATGACGAAAGGCGGTTGCAGCTTCGCGCCGTGAAATGATGGACGATCGCGTCATCACGTGGCTGTCAAAAAGCTCAAAGCACATTTGGTATGCTTCTAGGGCAGATTCATGTTGATAGACCTCTGCTTGGCGAGCCCACTCAATAACCTCCATGATGCGTTCCGGAAATCCTTGAGTAGGATGTCTTGATGCAGGTCTGAAGTTCTCTATAGCGAGCGACAAATCAGCAGGGTCGTGTAGAATCTGGTAACGAGACATATAGGCTTCCCGTAGCCTGAAATATGAGTAGTGTCTGTCTGGGTGCAGTGAATGCAAAGCCTCCAATGATTGTTGGCAAAGAACAATGGCCTCCTCGACATCTTCATTCTTCTGAGTTTGCGTGAAACGAGAGCAGAGCACCGAGCTCAAATTGTGAAGAGTTACATGGCGCTCTGGATGGTCAAGCCGCATTAACCGAATGGATTCACGATATAAATCAATGGCCTCATTGAGATCCTCGCTAACATGCGTTTCGACATATCTGGTTTTGAGCGCGAGGGCCAGGTTGTTAAGCGTGGTGTCATGATGTGGATGCCCAGGTGGGCGCAACGTCAGTGCCTCGCGACAGAGGCTGATGGCTTGGGTGATGTCATCAATGTCGCCGCGTTTGTTGAAACGTCTGACCAGAACGCCCCCTAGGTTGTCCAATGAGAAATCACGATATTGGTGCCCAACAGGGCGCAGGCGCAACGCTCCTTCGTGCAAAGAGATGGCCTCATCGAGGTCATTAAGTTTGCCTTGATGTTCGAAGCGCGACGTGAGTGAGTCGGCCAAGTTGTTCAGGTAGGTACCACGGTCAGCATGTCCCTCGGGGCACAGAGACACGGCTTCACGACCAAGTTGTATGCTTGTGTCAAGATCATCCATGCTGCCGTGCTGATCAAAGCGTGCTTCAACTGCTTGTGCAAGCTTGTTGAGGGCTCTTGGACGAAGTTGATGGCCCAGAGGACAGAGCCCGAGGACGACTCTTCGAAGATGGATGCCTTCATCAGATGCATCTTTTGGAAGATTGTTGCATCCGCCGATCACATAATCAACACCATTCTTCCCTGCCGCGATGCTACGAAGGTAGGTGCCCTCTGCACATAGAGGCAGTAGGTCATGATACAGTTGGGCGGCTTCCCGGATATCGGCGGCAGTGCTTTTCTTGTTGTGGCGCCAAGTGAGCACTTCGGAGAGATTATATAGAGATAAGGGATGATCGGGATGGGGCTGAGGACGCAATGCAAGGGCGTCGCGGAAGAGGGAAGTGGTGGCATCGATGTCTTCAAGATCATTTCGGATGTAGCCTGCAAGGCGGGCCCACGCGAGGTTGGTGAGAGCCGTTGCATGATCTGGATGGTTGACCGGACACTGGTCCAGAACTAACTCAAAATGCTTTACAGCATCGTTCAGGTGAGAGACTGTCTCGCTAATCACGTATTTGGCAAATTGTGCGTGGCCCGCATCAGTGTCTCGAGTAATCTCGCAGTCTGCGAGGGACTGCAGTTTGCGTTCTGTCAGCAAAAGCTAACAGGACAGATGCCAGCGTCACTCACATCAAACAGTGCGTCGTCCTGATCGTCGCAAGCATGTACAATGGCGGCCTTCAGCTTGAGGGAAGGGTGGACACCTCGCACGGGTGGGAAGGATAAATCTACGAGACGTTAGTGTATGTGCATGAATGAGAAGCGAATCACTCACCAAATGGCTCATTTCCATGATCCAGTAGCTCATCCCATGACATTTGAAGTCCTGCAATGACCTCACCGCCGCCTAGCATTCGACCAAGCTCATAGGATGCCCTGATCTCCACTGACAACTCAGGTGAGGAGTGTGATGATCTATAAACAGACGATCAGTTCTTGCATCGCGTCAGACAGTGTCCATGGGGTTTACAGAATGACAGTATTCCCCCAAGCTACAGATTCATCAGATGATAAGACACTGATGGCTGATTTCCAGCGCCTCCGGGAGTCGACATTGATGGATATGTAGATGCCAGCAGGAATGCGCCAGGAGGGGACCTGAAGATTCTTTCCGCTGATGACTGTAGATATTGTGTGAGGATGACAACAGATACGAAGGTGGTTCGGAGGGACTCGCCTTCCAGTCTGATATATCGGCTTTCTGAGGTACCAGGCATGATGGTGGATTGAGCAAATTGATGAGGATCGAGGATGGGATGAATGGGCCACGGAATCAGTGAGAAGGAAGGATGAGGGTAAAGATATTGGGAATGTTGATAGAGTTCAGCTGAGAGGGAGGTTGAGGAGGGCTGTTCGGCACGATATAGACGCTGGTATGATTGCACTAAGCGCTGGGAATGGAGATCACCGACCGGTCTTCAATGAAAGTGGCCGGTCGAGGTCGAAGGGGGGATGCGAGTCTCAGAGTGATTGGACTTGCATCGTACTACTCAGTTAGCACACCAAGACAAGATGTAGAATCGAGTGTATTTCGTATGGTAATGCGAACAATGTTAAAACCATTGAAGACGTCACTCTAAAAACCGAATGATTGTATACGAGTCATCCAATTGAGCTGATAACGAAAGGAGGATGATTTCGGCTGGATAGAGGAATGAGAAAGAATGTCCACTTGGAAAGTGAGGATGCAACCTACTGTATGCTGCTGTGACCGCTGCCGGATTCCGCACAGATATGAAACCAAGCACCATGTGGGACTATGTAGCTATAATGGAAGCCTTGAAGGTGATGGGAACATATAGGGGTACAGCGAATCACCGAATATATATGGGGTGAAGATGGAATGCATCGAGCTTGTGGTTCGTACAGGCGGCCAAGGATGCCAATTCAAATTTCCATTTCAGTACAGACCGTGTTGCTTACGTGACGCAACTGCCACCCATGCGCCTGGACGCTGCGCCTCGTGGAATTTCAAAGCAAGGCGCACTTTTGGTGTGTCTTTTTTGTGCGCGTTCTGAATCGTGTCCAAGGGTGTTTGGGTTTATTTTCGTTGGTTTTGCGTAACAAAACCACTTTGCTGACCACCTTTGCAGCGTGTGTCACATAGTAGGTGTGTACTATGTAGCGACTTTAAGCTTAAGTCTTTGCTCATTCTAATTGTTGTTTTAGGTCTCAATCATGTTCTTTGTCACTCATAATATCGTCCATTGCACTCTGCTATCCCTTCTGACATGCTCTCCCAAACCCTCGCTGGTGTTTTCACTTTTTTTGCGCGTCCTTTCAGCAGTTTATATTGTCCTAGCATGAATACACTGGAATTTACATTTTGCATCACTATGTGTATGAGTGAAGGGTACGACCCGACGATAAAATTCCAGGAGTAGCAAGCCTCGCAGGATGCGCATGTTCCCTTTAAATTTGGCGTGCTACTTTCACTGATGACTGACCTTGACGTTGCCCTCTTTTTAGCATGTACAGGCTCTCCCGCTAACATTCAATCGTCGGCCATCGTTCTCAGCGCTTTGTATAATCACACGTCTATCGTGTCAAACATACAAATGCCACGGAAATACACGTGCAACAAGACCTGGACCACCCACCCCTTCTCCCTGTCTTTACATACTCCTCACCGCACCTACCACCAAACACATCCTCGATCCTCCTCATTTTCTTCCATTGCACCACCATGTCTGATGACTTGAAGGTGAGTTACTGCATATTACCTTCGTAACCGTTTTGTGATTCTTACGCTCGACTCGAATCTACAGTCATCAGCGAAAATATGAACGTCCCCTCCTGGTATATGCCCGTTGCCATTTACATATGCGTCAGTGTCGACTCGAGAAGACGCTGAGATCAGTCATCCGAGTCCTATCATCCCACGAATATCTCACTAGGGTAGGACGAGACCACGACCTTGTGATGTCCACGGGTACTTTCAGATGCATCCATCACGGTGCTTACATCCGTTTCAGCACCGAGGCCCAATCCACAAGCGAGGCGTTCTGACCAAGGTCTTCGGGCTAGACGATCTTGGGGCCCTACAATCGAACGGTCACTCGAGTTTTGAAGAGTGGGTGTTGGAGTGTTCACCTGGATGGTAAGGAAATCGGTTCAACTTAGTGATTCCATTGACATCATCACGAGCCGAATCTCCTATGCATCAATAGAACATCCGCTGTGCGTTCAATTTGCCTCATATTAGAATGCACTCAAATGTACAGATGACCCATAGGCTCGTGGCCAGGCTGGCGTATACTATCGCAGACAAGTTGATTACGAGACTAGCCGGTACGCGTGATTATAGCTAAAAACACAACAGACCTAATCGCAATGAAAGCGCAGAATCAAACGCAAAACTCAAGCCATTGAAATTCACTCATCCACCTTCGTATAAAGCCTGAATGTGATTTGAACGTACGAAAGATACCACATTCGGTATTTTACCACTTCGCGTCCGGCTCGCGCCATAGGACAATCATATACTTCTACATCCCATCTTTGTTGACCATCGGTCCACAATATAATGTTGTTCCTTGACTCATGCTCGAGCTCATTATTGCATGGACCCTCCTCTACGTCTGTCTTCTGTTTCTCATATGACTTTCATGATTCCCTGATACCGACATCAAACTTTTGTCATCTACCCAAATCAAACCTTCTCCATCCAACTCAATCAGATATGTTCTTCCCTCCCCCCCACCTTCCAAAACTACCTTTGGAAAACATGGAGACACTTGTGGTCAACCGCTTGACCTTGTTTGCATGATATGACATCAAAAACATGTAAGCACATTTCCTGATCTTCAAATCAACCTTGATGTCCAGGAATAGATTACATTCCAGGGATGAACCTTCTTACGATCGATACGCGTGGAGGCAATTGGTCAGGGACAAACAGAGTATGGTACGGGCGATAGTAACTCTGGAGTCGTTGTCTCGCAAGCTAACGCATTTGTTGCAAGATCTCGTTCAATCCATATAGGATACTATTGGATGCTCTCTTGACATTCCACAGCCAGCGAACGTTGTGAAATGCATATTGTATTTTGAAGCGACACTTCTGCATCACTCTCGTTCATCTTTACCACCTGTAGAATATTCTGCTGAAAGGGGCCCTAGGAACGGGCAAAAAGACGGCTACTCATGCGATCTGCAACATGCTCAAGCGCCCGATGCTTGACGTTTGGGCGAATGTCATCCCATGCCTTGCCGATGTGCAACCTTGAGCCGCCAAACTGGCTTTGGTAAGCACCATCCGCAAGCCATGACGCATCTCTGACAATGGCTTAGCTTGCGATCGAGTAGAATGCGTTGGTGGTCGTAGACCACGGGGATGTAAGTATTGTCTCTCAAATCATCCATTATATTCCTTCTGAAGACACGTCACACAGTATTTCATGAACTCTGAATGTCCAGAGAGTCGAGTATGTTCTTCATTGTTGTACTGATAATCCCGTACTAGTATAACTAATTCTCTTGTCAGGAGCGCATCAACGTGATGATTCGAGAATTCGAGTCGCCCGAATGTATCTGTCTGTAGCCCTTGGTGCACTGCTCAAGCCGTTCTCTGCTGGTGCGTATCCGAGTTATCTAACCTACATGTATCACGAACTTTCTCTGTTGCAGCCATCGAATTCCCCGACCTCGATCTGGCAGCCCATCGCCAACAATGGCTACAACTCTTTGGTCGAGATGACCTGGTTTCAACTATATCTAGCAGCAAGCATGCACCCGTCCCTACCGTGAGGATGCGAGGAACATGCACTCTCCCCTATTAGGTCCATTCAAAAGATATCATGATAGTTGTCTTCAGATGAGAACCAATTGACACTGAGCATGCTACAATTGATATACCATCTCTCTCATTTTAGACGGGAACTGAGAACGAGCTGAACAATGCGACATGCAATGTCATCAAATGATGCCTTAGTGGCCACAACGCTAGGTCTGTAGTTAAATCAAAAAGAGCGCGTAAAAACAACAGGGATTCTATTATAGTACACATGCATCCAGAAAACAAGCGATCAGATAAGAGTTTTAGATATGTAGATGTACAGGGAAGGTAAGGTTGCGACGATGCGGGACCTAGTACAATTAATGATTTGCACAAAAAATAAAACATACGGCTATAACTCGCCTGTTAGAATCTGTGGTCAAGTTCGCTGGTAATTCATCGGCATCATATTCCTCCACGAGCCTAGCCGCCACAGGGCTCGTACGTGCTGTCGTTGTAATCATTGTAGTAGGGTTCGGGGTCAAGTTCCTCGCGTTTCTCCACGTTTGGTAGAAGGTCAGCACGTTTAACACCTAGCAGCAAGTCACACCTCCGCATGGTGATGAAAGATTTGAATACTCACAGGTACTACGTTTTGCGATGGCTGCTTGTGACATAGGGTACGCTGTGACAAGAACCACGATATATGCGAGTGCGCTGAGGACAAGAGAAAGCTTCATGTTTGAGTTGAGAGGTGCGCACTGCACTGCGCCTGCATTTGAATCTTGTATGCCTTTTCGCAGGTTGGTTCATACCTAAATGTGCGGAACTTTGATGAAAGTGTCCTCATGCAATCCGCAGCATGACAACAACGATTGCAATGATCAGTTTCTGATTGCGGGGATCAAGCTTGTGTCAATGCAGAGAACGTAATGTCTTTAATCACCGCTCTTGCTGGAATGAAGAACTCAACACGAGGGGCCCGGATGTGGCGGTCAGGCAGCAACTTGAAACAAGTTCTGTTCCGACCGCCTTCAGGTACGACTCAAAGAACAACAAGGACCTATTATATCAACAGGTTAGGTGTGCGGAAGTGACTTCCGCACGAAGGTCTAATTGAGGTTTGTCTCTTCCCTCGAGCTTGCGATTCTCGTTGACATCTGCTGGTAAACACTGCTCATTATTTCTGTAGAATTCACAGTCTATGGGAACTCAGATACTAGATGAGAATTCATTGGTCGTGCAGATGTCTTTTGCTGGGACCGTCATCTCCCATACTTGGCGTTCGAGAATATTAGTAGCCAACTCCGACACAGAAACCAACCTGTTGTCGATCGTCTTCTAGGAGCGTGTACAATAGTAGTAGTACATTAGTGAAATACCATGTCACTCATTCTGTGTTGCTCGGAAATTTACGGGATCGAGAACATGTAGTACAGACGATAGCAATACGACCTACACACCGATATGAACAAAAACCATCCTCTGATCGAGCGGCACTTTCGTCTTCACAGCATGCGTAGCGCAGTTGAGTGCCCAGGCCGCCTTCGTGCAGTCCATGACACCACCATCCTTCAAATCTCCGAACATATACTTGTAGAAAGATTCAACGACATGTTTTGCGACGGAGTCGTCGACCTCCCACAGCGTGCCAATGACGCTCTTGAACCCTGAAAACTGGAGATCAGCTGCGAGGTGAACCATTTCCTCGGATGTCTTTTCATCGCCGGTGGCAGTATGACAAGCAGATAAGAACGCAAACTCAGCCTGAGGAATGCCTCTCTCCACAATATCGAGCAGCGTCAAATGTTCGTCTCTCACAACAAAACGCGACTTGTCAGGCTGCATAGAGTCCTGTTTTCCATGACAAGCAAGGTGTACCCAGGTGTTCTGCTGTAAAGTTGAGAGTGCACCTGCTCTCCGCCGCCTAGCATTCGAACAAACTCATAGGATGCCCTGATCTCGACTGACAATGCAGGTGAGGCGTGTGATGACCTATAAACTCAAGTTCAGTTCTCGTATAGCGTCAGTCACCATGAGCTTTACAATGTTACAGTATTCCACCAAGCTACAGATTGATCGGATGATAAGACACTGATGTCTGACTTCCAGCATCTCCCCGAGTCGACATTGATGGACACATAGATGCCAGCGGGAATACGCCAGAAGGGGATTAAAAGATTTTTGACGTTGATGACTGTACAGTGTAGATAGAGTGTGAGAATCATGAAATAGATACGAAGGTAACATGGAGGAACTCGCCTTCAAGTCTGATATATCGGCTTTCTGAGCAACTAGGCATGATAGCATGATGGAGCAAAATGATGAGGATCGAGGATGGGCTGAGTGGTGGATGGAATAAGAGAGAGAAAGACGGGGGTGGGGATATGGGACTGTGGATAGAGTTCAGCTGAGAGGGAAGGTTGCAACGTTTTGAGGGTTCAGATCATACTACACGTGTTGTCGAGGACGATAGACGCTGGTATGATCGCACCAAGCGCTGGGAAGATCACCAACCGGGAGAATATGTGGCAAAGAAGTAGACAATGTTATGACCAGTCTTCAGCGTTCGGAGGTGGCCCGCCAAGGTTGAAGGGGAGATACAAGTCTCAGAGTGTCTGCTCCTGGACTTGTATCATGCTACGTATTCAGTTAGCACACAAAGGCAAAATGGGGTGTGGCAATATTATTCAAAGCACTGAAAACGGCACGGAAAGAAAAGCCTCAGGCTAATGATTCTATGATCGAGAGCATCAAGTACTTTCAAAGGGACGGTTTTCGATATGACGGGTAGCAATATGAGAATCCAGCTGAATGCGCTGTGCAGGAGCGAATGACAACGAGCAATGGATTGAATTGAAGAATGAGCTACCCAAACAACAATATTAATGAAGTCTTTACGATACCTGGTACTGAACGTTGAACGGTAGTGTCCGCCGTTGAATGTGAGTAAAAGTGTTGCATTGCTTACTCCATCCTACGTACGAGAGAAGTACAGCCACCCGGATCCTGCCTGCCTTCGTAGAGTTACGTCCAATTCTGATGATGGTCTTCTAGAAGATCAAGCGATTAGCGTACAAAGTACCATTGAGCTCCCTCGGAATCCCCATCTGGACTGCAAGCGAACGGCATTCACCGGGCCCCGGCGCCTGGGCATCGTTGAAACTCTTCAAGTTGCTGTGTCCGACCGGAGCCGCGGCGCAGGACAAGTTCGTTCATCACACCACGCTGGCACGGTATGTCAAAGTCATTATCATTTTCTGATAAGCAGCCTAGACGGCCTAGTGACCATGCCAAGTCTATCTGACAGATCTACCTCCCTAACTACTAGTACATCGGTAGGTGTATCGGTGAGTTTAGTCTATTACGACTTGTTATGTCCGACATCAGCCCGCGTCAGCGCTCAGTTGCAAAGCCGCATGCTTCCAATTGTTTCTATTACTACATTACTACCTTGACTACATGACACTGACAGTGTGCCGAATTCTTTTCAGATAGCGTAACCACATAAAGTATTCCCAGACTCGCCTCCTGATAACGCGTCCGCTGGATATCTTCGTACACTGCCCTGCCACAGCAGACACCGAATATGGAATCACGTCCAGTGCTCTGACTCACCAGTAAACAACTTTTTTTCATTGGTCTGCCTACCATAAGCTCACAGTACTAGATGGTCACACGTCGCTGGTATGCTTACAGCCGCACTACTGACCCTCAGTCTTCAGAAAGCGTATTGGAAAGATAATTGGAACGCTCTAGCTGACAATTTGCAGACCTTGCAAGATGCACAAACCGCCCCTGTCGCTTGCACAGCAAGCCAGTGCTTCCTCCCGCTCCCGTTTTGTGCAGCTGGGCTCTAAAGGTAATGCTCGCTAGCAATTACCAGGTCTGTCTTGCATAACTGCCTGTCACCCATTGGTTATCAAGTAAAATGCTTCTGCCACTGATCCACAACCTCTGCACAGTTTTCTCGATCTGTTCCTCAAGGCAGTGATCGTTGGTATCAGGTGAGTTCCTGTGATGCGACAGGCACTCGAAGGCGTTTGGGTTGTCAATGGGCTCATTCTTCAGATTCACAGTCGTCTTGTCTGTGAGACTCAGTTACGTTCACACTGGGAATTTCCCATCAAGTAACGTCGGGGGTTCCTGTGGACTATTTCAGAACAAGCGCTGAACTAACTAGATGCATGCATGGCCAAGATAATGATTTTAGATAGCAGCCTGGAACAGCTTCCTGGTGAGGAAATCCACAGCCTTATCCCTTCTATCGGCACTTCTGAATGGACGCACTGATAAATCGATATAAAAACTCTCTTAAGTGCGTCCCACCCTATTGACAAAAGTCAACTTTGCTCATGCGCAATGCAAATAGTGAGTTCAATAGCCCGTAATGACTTATACTCACTATTCCCTCAGAGATCCGACTTTTCTTACTGCTGCTCTCATTTCTTGAAGGGGTATACGCCAGCAACATTAATATCACCGGCTGCTTCCTCAATTTCAGATTGAATGCGAACCAGAACCTTGATCCATCTGGATTGGTGAATGGTAATGGCGGAAATGTCTCGTCGTTGGACATTATGAACGCAGCTGGATTCACGTACCAGACGTGTCTCTCGCAGTGCGGCTCTGGGACACAGAATCCCACCTGGTCAAACATATCTCAACAGTTCGGCGCCTGGCTATTACCTTACCTTGCGCTCATTTCTCAGCTGCCTTTCGGTGCAAGACATAGAGTTGACAATCTCATGTCTGCCATCCTCACAGTTGGATCCCCGGTTCTCGCTGGCTACTCAATGATTCTCACCATTCTCAACGCCAACTGGATCAGTCGTCGCTTCGAAGACCTATCCTTCCCAAACACTAAAGACGCCGTCAGTATCCTCATAAGCCTTCAACAAAGTCCACTAAGAATAACAAATGAAGACTCGCTGCTGAGCTCTCTCGTCGTCCTGCCACAGAATGATGAATGGTGGCCGAGCATTTCCGGTTTTCTCGACTACACTCATACCTGGTCCATCGCATCTGCCACATCCATTGCGTGGGTTGTTATCGCATACCTACTGACAGTCGCCAGCTCACTAGCCGATGTCTCCTCCAACATCAATTCCAACGGCCAAGGGACGGGATCAGTGTGGTTGTGGCTTATCCCAATCGTTATAGGTTGGCTGCAACTGTCCCCGAAGTGCGATTACGCACGCGTTAGAAAGGCCATGGATAACGCGGATGCAATGGCATTTGTGGCCACCGATCATGGAGTTGTTGTAAAGGCTTCCGATCTTTCGGAAAGGCGAGCAGTATCCATTGATACTGATATTGAAAATCCTTCGTCTGACGACGAAATGTTGACTCCGCCCGTCTTTAACTATGCCAGGGCCATTTCATGGTCTCGGTCTGCGGAGGATGTCTTCAATGCTTTTCGAATAGCCTCCAACAATGCTAAATTACACAGACCGGTCATGTTTGGTGCTACATGGATGAACTCGAATAGAAGGAACTTTATTGAACCCGGCAACAGGAAGGGCAACGCGTCCGATGTCAATGCTTATTGCAGACTTCCCCTATACGCAGTACGGAGCCCCTGGGCGACAGGGATGTTCTTTCGCATGTTCGTGGCCTCGCTGCTGCCACTAGCTTTGCAATGGGCAACAACTGGATCTGCAGTAATAGTTGTGTATCTAACTCCAACTGTGGTAAGCATTATTTGACAGGAGCTTATCTGCGTCTGTTGCTGATTAGCGGTACACGCCAGGGCCTTGGTTGTAGATCTCTCGGCTACCTCATCTATGGCGCACTTGCAACTGTAGTATGGGCAATGCTCGTTATGTCGAGCATCCTGTCGCACTACGTATTTTCATACTCGGACAGACCCAGGAGTCCTTTCTCATCTACCACCCTCAGGCTCGTAAAGCTAGTATCGAACCTTCTGAGATGGGGAGGAAAGTTGGTGGCAATCGTCAATGCAATTTGGATAATTGCGGCGGGGATGCTGCAGTTTACAGATGTCTATGATAATTGTTATTGCAACTCAAGCGTGTTGGGGAGAGGGGTCCAATATGCTTATTACATTGTCGAGCTCAGCGATGGTGTAGACTTAGGTCAAACCAAAGCTGCTTGGTTCGGAGCGTTGGCTTTGGCTGGGTCTGTCTCTTTGGGATTCATTTTTTACATGAGTTTATTGACTGATCTCGTACCTATATGAAATTTCCGAAGATAAGATACTACACTATACTTACTTCCGGTTGTATTTGTTCCTTAGTTATTATTATCTTATAATTGCGCATGTGTGTGTGTGTGACACTTGTGTTTTGATTGCGTTTGAACCTGTCCATGTACTAGTACACGCTGTACACGATCTTTTTGGCAGCTTGGTAGACAAACCTTCCCTGGTGGATAACGCAGATAAGAACTTCATAGCCATAATTAATGAGATGGACCTTATGTCATTTTCAGGCCCGCTGCCCTCGTCTGAGTCGGAAGTCACCGAACAAATTGACATTGCGGCTTCAAGAACACTGCCCTTTAGACCTGATGCAGATGAGCGGAGCCGCCTTGACAGTCACTGGACTCGGGGTATAAAAGCAGAGACGCTGTTTCCGGTAGGTCAAACTGATTCATCCAGGCCTAATAGTTGATACGACGAATCTGATGCGCTTGCACAAAGGCTCTCGGGCAGGTAAGCGCAATAACTGGACTATGAATTTCTGGTTTTCTCATTTACCACTTTGGCGTAGCTCTCTTACTACTACTGGTTCACGCTGCCGGAACAGTCGTTGCGGCAGTCAACTTCGATCAGTGTCTGAACGATATCGTTCAGAATGCAAATACTACTGGCGACTTGAATGGTTTACTCGATGGTAACGGAAATCCCGTATCAAATATCTCTGATGCAACATCGATCAGCTACTCGATGTGTACATCCAGCTGCGGGACCGGGCAAGAAGCTTTCCAGTGGTCTGAATTTTCGCAAGAATTCAGCGCGTGGCTGCTGCCAAATCTTGCACTGATTTCGCAGCTCCCCTTTGGGGCACAGTACAGGCTTGATAACCTCATGTCTGCTGTGTTGACCGTTGGATCACCGACACTCGCCGGTTACTCTTTATTCATTACCCTCCTCAACTCTCGCTGGATCACCCACCGGTTTGGCTTGCTGAACGATCATCCTAATTCACGCTTCGCGCTCTCTATCTTGAGCAGCCTTCAACAAGTCCCTCTCAGACTGCATCCTGATCGCGAACGCTTACCCTCTCTCGTCCTTCCGGAAACCGAGTGGTGGAAATGTCTCGCTGAATTTGTAGACTACACTCATACGTGGTCAATCGCGTCTGCAACCTCCATTGCATGGGTCATTGTCGCCTATATCCTGACAGTTGCCAACTCACTATCGAACGTTTATGCAAACGTTCAATCCAACGGAGAGGCCACTGGCTCAATGTGGTTGTGGTTGATTCCGATAGTCGTCGGATGGCTGCAACTCTCCCCAAAATGCGACTTCGAGCGCTTACAAGCCGCGTATGACCGTGCAGACAGACACAGTATGCACATAGGAACAACAGATGTTCGTCATGGTGTCGGGGCGCTTCCTGCGTCATCCCGGCGAGCGTTGGCAATCACTGCTAAAGAGAATGATGTGATGTCACCAGACGAACTGTTCACCCCTCCCGTGTTCAATTACTCGCGTTCGCTGCGATGGGCATCTACAGCAGAGACTGTCTTCACGGTGTTCAAAGAAGATACAGAGGCATCAGAGAAGGTTCATCTTTCCGTTTATGGGAGTAATGCGGACGAATCTGGTACTAACGACCCTACCGACCACGTCGACACCGTCCAATACATCGACACTAAGCAAGACAATTGCGACAAAAAAGAACGACGCGGGTCCCTTCAATACTCCGTTATGTACTGCGCAGAACCCGACGGGGTGCAGAGTCAATGCAGCCATTGGGCACCTGGTGTGTTCACAAGAATGTTCATCGCTTCCTGCGCTTCGCTTGCATTACAATGGGGGACAGTTGGAGCGGCATTTGTGGTGGGGTGGTTCACTCCTACAACAGTGGGTCTTCCTGCATACTTGTAATCGAGTTGGCTAACGTCTGATAGAAAATCGGGTGTCGATCTTTGGGTTATCTCCTTTACGGAGCCATTTCGACGTTAGTTTGGATGATGCTCCTGATATCCGGTATTCTCGCCCACTCTGCCGCCGCTGACCCTCGCCGAGCATCGCTATCTACACGCGTTGCTTTGGCGTTTTCGCACATTCTGCGGTGGACGGGCAAATTGTTTGCCATATTAAACTTTTTCTTGGTGATCATGGCGTGCGTATTTCAGTACTCCAACTTCTACGATAGGTGTTTCTGTAATTCCAGCGTGTTTAGCAGGGGAGGGGCAGCGTATGATGTGATTATTGAAACCACAGCCCAAGCTGCACAGGCTAAGGCTGCCTGGATCGGTGCGCTTGTCTTAGCGTGCACATCAGCATCAGCTTTCCTTGGTATCCTGAACCTTTTGTTGGACACTCTACCATCGTAGGCAATTGGGAGGAGTAGCTTATGTTGTAAGATTATTTGTAGTAGTACTTTGTTCGAACAGGTGACTCGACTTTGTGAATCAATCATTTCGTCGTGTTAACGTTCAGGCCTGCCAGTGCAGGGAGATCTTGCTGTAACCATCGGAGTCCATACTGAAGATTGAGAAAAAACGAAAGTGGCAGTGTTATCATGATGCCCCAGCGGCAGCCCAACTTCTGAAACACTGAACCGCAGCATCGGCCACGTGTGCCCGCAGCACAGGCAAGGAACGTGACATTCCGCTCGTCTTCGGACGTTGCAATGAGCTATTTGATATTTGATAAACCCAACTTCATCTAAGTCAATATTAATTAATTACTTCGCGCTTATCTTCATTGTCTGTTTGAAACATGACTAGTTGACTTGCTGAGTTCTTGTTTGGGGACACTTTGTGCTGCCACGCGATTCGGTAACTCAAAACTTGGATTCAACAATTGGTTTATGGGAGAAATGCATGATTAGCATCATCCATCGTCAATAGTATTGCTAGGAGTGCAGTCCGCGAAAAGTCCGTGACATGATTATAACGACTCATCTATGTCCAGTAATGTTCGATCAAAAGTGAACGACCACGACAGTAAGTAATGTATACATATGCGACAGAGTGAAACAACAAAAATTATGTATGAGTAAAGATCAACACATATAAAGAACACAGTCATCTGATCCTTAGACCAGGCCAAGTAGAATTGACCGATCAACTCGGTACAGATGCAAGGGGTTCGGCATATCCACCTTGATCACAGCGCGTTAATGCTGTACAACAAGTGAAAAATAAAACAGATATAGATAGGCATCATTGTCACAGGGCATTACCGCCACCTGTAACAACAGGACCAGGATCATTGTTCCCAAGTGGGCTAGGTTGCATAGGTTGCATGCTGGGGCCTCCCGTGGTACTCAGCCCTGCGGCTTCCAGTAACGCAATTTGCGATGTTCTCTCTCTAGTTTGAGGCGCAGACTCATCCCCTGACAAGTCGCGATAGGAAGATGATAGGGAATTTTGTGAGTAGTGCACGCCTAACGCTGAAGGGCCCATGACGTCGTCGATGATGTGGCTCAAGTCAATGTCCCCACTGTGTTCTATGTGACTCATGAGTGTGCGACGTTCGGTATGATTAGACCCAGAGCTATCATGCGAATCCCAGGGGGCATCATGATCAGAGTATCTTCCTGGAGGCGGACGTACGACATCAACGTCCTCAAGGTCCTCGCTCGCAAGCATTGTTGCTCTGGCACGGGCTTGTCGCCTGCGCACATTGATAGCATCGAGGAAGTGGAAGTGTTTGAAGCGCTGACGTTGGCGGTAGAAAAATACAGAAAGACCAATGATTAGGAACAGGCCTCCACCAATCACGGAGCCAGCGATAACCGCAGTGCGATCAGTTGCACCTGTAGTGGTGGTCGAGGATTCACTGACGACCGTAGGGATTAAACTGAAAGACTGATGGCGTGTTAAAAGGAGTTGGGTTTGTATATATAAAAAAGGTACGTACTGTCATGGTAGATCCACCTACAACCGTCACAAAAGACGAGGTGATGGTCGATGTCGTCTGGCTTGCATATGTGGAAGTTGGAGTCGTAGACGTCGGGTTGTTTTGAGTAGGTGATGGTGATACGGTGATGGTGGAGGTGCTGGTGGAGGTGCTGGTGCTGGTGCTGGTGCTGGTGGAGGTGCTGGTGCTGGTCGGTGTTGGAGCAGAGACCGAGGTAGAGGATGAAGTTGTGGAAGTAGGTGGCTGAGATGTAGGTGTAGAACTCGAAGTTTCTGAACTTGTAGATGTAACGGGTGACAATGATGCTGTTAAGTCAGACTGAGATGACCTAGTTAGAGTAAATTTTCGTTAGATAGCTAGTCAACAAAAAGATACCAAAGATACCTACGTTGTAATAACAGAAGAAGCCGTAGTACTGACATCAGAAGAGGATGGTGTAGGACTGCTTGATGGTGAACTATCACTGGTAGCCTGGGAGCTACCAGGCTGGCTGGTTGACAGTGTAGTCGTTATCGTGGATGCCTGCATTCAGAGATAAATATTGCTGCGCAAAATGATAGCAGTGTATAGGGAAAATTGGGCTTGGTCTCCCGGTCCGAAGTCAAGACACGCACCTGACTGTTGCTGATAGTTGGCGTGGGTGTGTCCGAGCTAGTGGCAGTAGATTGTGCTGCGGTATTGGAGTCAGTTGTGTTTGTCGACTGCCGTGGATTGAACAGCTTGGGCCTGCTGGTAAGCATGCAGTTGTCGTTTGTAGTGAAAATCTGTCAGTGAACCGTGAGGGTACTGAAACAGGTCAAGACCAACTAGTTGGCTTACGATTCATGAGAACGTGAACAGTGGGAAACAAATTCCGTTGAAACCTACATTGCCGTACTCTAAATTCAGAACTGAGCGTCTAAATTATTACTAGTTCCCTGATTACGGATTGGCTTAGAGACTTCAGGAGTGCACGCTGCGGTTGCAGACCACATTTGTCCTCCACGGTGCTGGCACGAATTAACAATTTCAACACATGCATGAACATAGTTCATATATATGGTGCTAGTTATTATAATAATTTCATATTCCATACGTTTTGTCCGCAGCTCCAGCATTCTCACTTCCACCGCGACCAACTATTTTACCCAGAGGTTTCCTCATCCGCCTATTTACCTCCCTTCCCACTACGCCGTACCGCCCACTTTCTGGCTGAGTGTTAGACAGTCCCGTCAAGTCCCGCACTACAAGCGAAGTCTAGCCCGATCGATGAAGGCCGTAGGTTGGATGCCCCGTAGTGTGCGCAGTGCATTTTCTTGGACGTTCAGACCGGAAGAGTATATCCTTCTTGGCGCCACATCTCCCTCCATACCACCACGCACCACTAAATACCGTCGCCAACATTCTTGCTCGTGGCGTAGCTTCATCCGCGTGTTCACCCTTCGAAAGGTCCTCGTCTCCGTCACTCTCGTCCCGGTGTTCCTGTTCCTTGCAATTATCTGCCAGGGCATACCACCAAACTATGATGATATCAGGTCATTCGAACACCATCTCCCTCAACACTCCTTGTCCAGACATCAGCCGCAGTACCTACGATTTCCAGGTCACCTGTGGGGCTTCGGGTTCAATAATGTTCTTCAGGAAGCGTGTGTATTGGTATTATCATATCAAGTCTCAAAAGTGGCTTATCGCTCTCATCAGTATTTTGATGTCTTACCTCGCCTACACGACCAACGTATCATTTGTCTTCGAGGACTATACATGGTCGCACTTACCACTTCCATGGACAATTTACGATTTCGCTCTGCGTCCCGCACGCATACCATTAAACGCCCTCATATCGGGGCCAACCGCAGGAGGGCCAATGTCTAGCGCACCGAATGCACCCCGTGCAGTGAATGCCGAGTTCTATACACAAGTCTGTGGGGGTCCTGACAGCCAGAAACGCATTATCAGCTCTCTGACCGCGCCAAACGATGCGGATGGCGACGTCATGATCGATTGGTGGGTACATCAGCTCGCATCTGTCCAAGAGCCATGCATAGAAATAGATTCATCTGCCCACGATGTCTTCGACAGATAGTGAGTTCATCCGACAAAATGCCGGGTTAAATGATTGATCCGTCGTCAAGCTTCTTCGGAAACCCACGGATTCTCTCCGTCTGGGAATCTTTGATTAAATCGCCTATGTTGACGGACTTCGCTTGGTCGCCGCTTGTGCAAGCGGCGGTTTCGCGTAATTTTGCGCTCCTTCAACCAGAGTCTGCTAAAGACCTCTACGATGCACATTCCCGTAAATCACTCGCTGGACTGGTCGCAGTGCACCTCCGCAGGGGCGATTACAAGCGACATTGTCCGAATCTTGCAAAGTGGGGCGCAGACTACATGGGTATAAATCAACATCCATCGCTCCCTGATCGATTCGATCGGTCTCCGTATGTCAACGACACTGATGCAAGGCTGTCGTATTATCTGGATCATTGCTGGCCATCAACGGAGCAGGTTGTAGAAAGGCTAAGGAACATTCGGAAAGAGTATCCTGGGCTGAAACGAGTGTATGTGCTCTCAAACGAATGGGCATGGAGTCTCGATGACCTGAAGAACGCGCTTGAGGAGGACGGGTGGGACGACTTGGTAAGCAGTACTGATATCGTGCTCGATTCGGAGCAAAAGCATGTTGCTATGGCAATAGACATGGCAATTGCAGAGAAGGCAGAGGTGTTCATTGGGAATGGGGTATGTTATTTCCACGTGGATGATCTCCAAAATTGTGGCTCACTTACCTGCTGTAGTTCTCGAGCCTGTCTTCAAATGTGGTGATGCTGAGGATGGCGAAGGGGATGGAGGCGGAGAGTAATCGGTTTTTGTGATGAATCTAAATAATTTAGTACCACTAGTATACTCCGGAACATTATGCGACGAGCGGTGCTCGCGAGGAACATGGACAATGGATGCACCAGTCACAAAGCCTGAGGCAGATGAGCGCCCTTAGGGACGTCTGACAACCGGATATTGACAGCAGTGCCTGCATAGCTTGAACCAAACATGTTGAGCTTTATCGATTTAAACTGATCCTATCGGAGAGGGAGCGAGGCAGCGACAGACCAGCTCCCCCTAGAGGTCTGGACATGCATGAGGAGTTGAGCGAAGCTGCAATCAAACGTGGACAATGGATGCATGTAGGCACAAAGCCTGAGTCAGATGAGCGCCTTAGGGACGTCTGACAACCGGATATTGACAGCAGTGCCTGCATAGCTTGAACCAAACATGTTGAACTTTATCGATTTAAACTGATCCTATCGGAGAGGGAGCGAGGCAGCGACAGACCGGCTCTCCCTAGAGGTCTGGACATGCATGAGGAGTTGAGCGAAGCTGCAATCAAACGTGGACAATGGATGCATGTAGGCACAAAGCCTGAGTCAGATGAGCGCCTTAGGGACGTCTGGCAACCGAATATTGACGGCAGTGCCTGCATAGCTTGAACCAAACATGTTGAACTTCATCGGACCTCACCTAGGAGCGACGGAGAGGGCAGCGAGGCAACGACAGACTAGCTCTCCTTCCTGGAGGTCTGGACATGCATGAGGAGTTGAGCGAAGCTGCAAAATGGAACCATGCTCCAAATTACATAAACGTTCGCATTTAATATATCTAGCTAGACTCAACGACTCACGAGGGCATCGAATATTGACGTTTTAACGTTCAAACATCAAATGAGAGTCGAGACGCAAACAGCAAGGAGCCCAATGGATTAATGAAGGCTGACATAGGTGATACAGCCATGCGAGTAGGCAGGAATAAGCGCATTGTGGAGACGGCCGAGACGTACGTATACAGTACAAGACGAACTTTTGTACTTTTGAAATTGATGGCAAGGTATCAACGTTTCAACACCCGAAACATACTTGATTGAGGTGAATGTGCATCTTAGCGATAAAATGACAAGTTCCAACTTAAGTATGCTTGCAACGGAGTTCGCTGCGAGAAGCTGAAAAAAGCTGGTAAGATAGGATTTTCAATTACTCCAAGGGCAAACACACTCCAAGGGCCAAAGACAGACGAGGCATCGACGCACTCATTTCTTCGGGGTTGCCTTTTGCTTTTTGCTCGCTGGAGGCTCCACTTCAGCCTCAATGCCCTCTTGAAGCTCAGTCCACTCTCCCACGCCGACTTCCTGTCCAAACCTTCTCTTGAAGCGTCCCAAACGACCAGTGCCCTCCTGCTCTTCATCTTCTATACCTCCCTCACCGACCGCTCCGCTCAAACGTTGAGTAGCGTTCCAAAGAGGATGGTTTGTTGTATCGCGCGTCAACGTTATTCGTGAGCGTGGCGATGTCGTCCATTGCATGTATGATGAGCCGTCCGCACGAACGACGCGCTGAGGGAAATGAGGAACTACTGGGTTGGGTAATTTGGGTAGACGTTGCTTGAAAACATGCGAGCGACCGTATGGAGAGGTAGAGACATTTCTTGTTAGCGGAAATGGTGACAAGAGCCCTGCAGAGGGACGTTTGCAAAGTAAAGACATGGTTTCCGATAAATGACCGGGAGAGATGTAAAAGAACTAATTTCAGGTAAATCACGTGACCCGGAAACACTTAGAATCGACACTCGCCGCTGTCAAGCACGACGACCAGTCCTCATTTATCATTCGCCAACCACTTTTCTCAAGGACCCCCTGTTGTATTGAACTATGGCTCGCTTGCACCAAGTTTCAATATACTCTTCCATCCTCATTTTGATCTATCTACTGGTGTTATTTGAGGCCCTGCCCATACCATTCATTGACGCCAGTGTAGCCCAAGAGATCCTTCCTGTCGTGCGTTCTCATAAGCTTACTGGCACAAGCGTCTCAGCTCATGCCCCCATAACATAATTAGATTCCTTGGTGGCTTCTGGTGTCATTCGGGTCATATTCCCTCTGGAGTCTCGGCTGGGGGGTGTTTACATTCCGTGACTGTCCTGAAGCCTATCATGAGTTGCTGCAGGTAAGCATGGGTTATATTTCTTGAGTGTTTATACGCTGATCGCTGTCTGTAGGAAATAAATGAAGCTAAAAACGATCTCAGAAGTCGGGCTGTTACCGTCGACTGAGGCATCTTCTTTAGTCATTTTCTACGTCTTTGTTTGAGACTCGCCTCAAATTACATACTTAAATACAGCCCTCCATCGAGCGTTTACTCAGAGGTACTTTATGGCACCATGTGAATGGTGAGAGTTACAACAGAGTTCGTTTTGTGCGACACAGTCGAATGTCCGAGTCGCTGTTAAAGTCGTATATAGGTGCGTTTTCCCCCGCGTTCTTCACAGCTTTCTGTGTAGATTAAGCACCCAATTTTTCTTTTCTGATTACATGCGCAGTTTTTCCATTCACATCGTGTCAGACTTCTCAAGGTCGAGGTGCGACTCTAATACAACCCACAAGCACCTAGATAACTAACTGGCATGCGTAGGCAAACGAAATTTCGCGACCTAAACACATGAGTTACGATGACATTACCTCCCAATCAAGGGTTGCATCTCGCAGCCAAGACTGGCCTTGCGCGTCACAAATTTCTCCTTCCGTTTATCTCTTTCGAAGGTTCCATATTTTGCCAGTTGAATCGATAGCAAGGAATATGCATGTGGTTCGATATCGTACATTTTGGAGTCATGGTCCTTCAGGGCTAATCGTTCACTGAATTTCTCAGGTCGGATGACGGACGTTGCATTATAATAAACAAGTTTTGTTATAACTGCAGGACGCAGGTACAATACAATGACTTGACTGACACATCACGCGAGTCATCATGATCATGCGGCTACGTGCCATGTATTAATGATCCAGAAAGATATTTCTCATTGTAGTGTCGCCTGGCCGGCCGTCAGCATTGCCGGCGCAGTGGTCTGCGCATTAGTAATGAATAATCTTGCATCGCGTAAGCTTTAATCATCTATAGATGAAATTCTCAAAGTGCATCAGGCTCGTTGATCAATACATGATGAACCCATCCTGTCCAGAAGCCAGCTGCTCTCTCCGTACTGTGACAGTCATTCTTGCTCAGTGATTTTGAGCCTTTTTTCATGCCACTCAGGAAGATAGTCTCGTATCCAGTGCAGGCGCTAATGCGAAGGCTCGGATTTCGTCTGCAGACTCATCATGCTCAACCGGTACCTGTAGGTGGGCGATCGGCTACAGTCGAGGGTACTTATATAGTGACAGCCCAAGAGAGCGGTTGATCCGGAGACGATTGAGGAGGGTAAGATTCGCCGGATGACTCCACAGTCAATCGAACCTTCACTGCGCACCAAATGACGGCAGCTGTTCGCATGCATATTTGACTTGAAAGAAATGTTGGACCTTTCGAAGGTAAAAGTACTTGGTTGGCTTGTTCTCGCTCTCAAGGAATGGCAATAGTCACTAGAAGTACCGTCTGTCATTCCAACGCTATTCGCAGCTTGCACATGTTTGCATCAGCATGCGGTAGTGATGGTCGGTAGTCTGCATACTTGTTGTACCTCCCGATGAAAGATCATGGAATGAGATGTTGCGTTGATCAAATTATCGATGGGCAAAATGCAGCCAATAAAATATATAGGGATGCAGCTCACGGTAGCAAAATAGCAATAAAAGCTCCACTATTCATCGTATTGAGTCAACTGTAAGTTTGTGAGTACCTGATCCCGCATACATTCATTTAGCAATAACTTACATCTAACGTCAGCGTGCGAGAGCTATTTACATCTTGGTCACGGTAGATTCCAACAAGGGAATTACCACGCTCATACAAGGAACCCTTCAAGCTGATGACGATAAACTGGAAGGAGTCGGACGCCTGGCTGCGGATATAATTGGCGATCTTGGCAACGTTGGTATTGTCCAGAGCAGCATCTACCTCATCAAGGACAAAGAACGGTGCAGGCTGATAACTTGAGACATAGTGAGAACAAAGGTTTTTGGAGTGAAGACGAAAAGACCAAACCTGTGTATCGCGAAAAGTAGAGCTAAAGCAGCCACGGTCTTCTCCCCGCCCGAGAGTTGTTCCATGTCACGGAATCGCTTCATCGGTGGCATGGCATGATATTTGATTCCGGCATTATAAGGTTCCTGTGATCAACAAGTGTAAAATGGCATGGACTTGACAGACTGAAAGACTCACCTCACTGTCCTCTAAACTAAGATATGCGACGCCTCCCATCGGCGAAGCCTTCCCTTTAGTGAGGTCTTTATAGACCTGGTCGATACAATCTGAAATGTGGTTGTATGCCTTGTTGAATAACTCGCATCTGGTTGCTGGGATGAGGATGGCGCTCAAAGTGAACTATTCACATACCTTTTTCGCTTGACATCGTTAAACTGATCGCGCGCATTTTTTGAGTCTTTCCGTGCCTTATCAGCTTCTTTCTCTGTGTCTGCAAGCTTGGCCTCGACATCGTCTAGCCTGTCCAACAATTACTATCAAGTCATTGAAAAATAGGAGTCGACATACTTTTCAATAGCCTTCAAGTTGGGTGCCATTCTCTCGATCTCTCCGTTGAGTCTCGCAATTTGTGCATCGAACTCGGCAGTAGTCTCGGGAGAATTATCCTATGATGAAAGTCAAGCGCGATACTGTTCCGTCAAAGCTTACATACCGCACGCTCCTCCTCGGTCAAAGAGTCAAAGTCAACTTCAATCCCATAATCTTGGACTTGTCGTGGTTGTTGGGTACCATTGTCATCATCAACATCCATCGCTACCTCCTCGCGAAGGTTCTAACCAAGAATCGAAATGAATGCGCGTATGACCTTTCAAATAAACGGCCTCACCTCTTCCATTGGGACGTTCTTCAAATTTCCTTCCAGTAGAGGTAGCTTGATGTCCTCGAGCCTGCATTTCCTGTAAGTCGCCGATCGTTCTAGTGCCAGCTTCTCAATCTCGTCGTTCTGAAGATGAATCGATGAATCATAAGTGGCCGAGCTATCTGAGCAAACGATCAGCGTACCTTCAGACCGATCTCTTTGAGAGCCTGGTCAAGTATCTTGGCAGCTTTCGTGTGCGTCTTTTTGGCTTGGTCGACATGCTTGTTCTTCTCTTCGAGCACATCATTAAGGCCTTGCAACATTTCTCTAAGCTGTGCGATGCCCTCCTGCGCTTCCGTGATTTCAACTTGAATGGTCTGCTTCTTTTCTTCTAGCTCTGCTACTTTCCGTTGCTCATCTTCAGCTGCGTTCCGTAGCGTCACCAGGCGCGACTGTGTCAACTTCAACTGCTCTTCTTCAAAATGAACCCTGCGCACACGTGTCAGTTCCGTCTCCCAACCTCAAAACTGCGAAAAATAGAACTCACTGGTGCGTCAGCCTCGCAACCTGCTGATCGAATCTAAGTCGCGCCTGGCTCTCCTCTTCTGCGACTTTCAGCTGACGTTCCTCGTACTCTCGAATATTCTCGACACCGATCTGGGAGCAAAACGAGGCAAATACGCCGTCCTCAGCTGAGTCAATAGCAGATTGGAGTTCTGCGATTTGGGAAGAGAGTTTCAAGTGTGAAGTTTGAGCCTGTAATTATGGTCAGTTCCATTTGGGTCTGCTACACAGTTTGCGTGAACCTTTTTGAGCTCGGGAGAGAGCTTCTTCAGCTCGCGCTCGACATGCTTTAGTTCCTCTTTGATGCCGTTGTACCGGGATTTGCAGGCGCTCTAGATACCGCAGATGGAACAATGAGATTATGGTAATGCCACCGGCTACTGTTCCAAGAACGTACCAGATCATCTCTTATAACAGCTATAGCACTCTCTAGTCGTGTAATTTCAGCAATGACGTTTTCGTCTGCCTTGCCTCTCGGTTTCGAGCGATTCAATTCCTGAAGCTGTGCCACAAGATTGTCACGAAGACGGGTAAGGCCTACATATAAATGAGTGCGAGGCGCCACGGTCAGTGAGCTGCCTACCTTGCACGTCCTTCTCCTCCCACTTCTTTCCTCCCCCATGCGTACTGCGCCCACCGGTAATAAGCCCACTCTTGTGGATGACAGTGCCTTCCAATGTAACGGCTGCCCAAATGTTAGCATAGCGTCCAACTTCCCGAAAACGAATGCCAACACACCTTTCACCTCCTGCCCCCGCTCCCAGCACACGTACCTCGCCACATCCATCGTGTCACACACAAGTGAATTCCCACACGCGTGGAGCATCGCGCGCTCTACGGCAGGCTCATACTGGATCACGTCCACAGCGAGACGTGCACCTCTAGCAAATGAGCGGAACTTGTCATTGATTGGCTTGGTGCTGATCGTGTCGAGGGGGAGGAAAGTTGCTTGACCTGCGCGCTGGGTGCGCATATACTGTAATGTTTCAAAAATTAGTTGAGATAGACAATGACAGAAGGCAGGAAAATGCACGTCGATGCATTCGATGGCAGTTTTCTCTTCGTCCACGACGACAGCGTCGATATTGCGCCCAAGGATGACAGATACAGCTGTCTCGTACTTGCGCTGTGTGGGTTTACAGAGGTCGACCACGCGCCCACGGACGCCTATAAAATGTGAGCGGTGGCTTTCTCGGACCAGGCAGGCGGCGCTTACCTGGGAAGATGCGCTGCAGACTGGCGAGCGTCTCCTTCAGCTTTGCCTCACGCTCGGATTCATTCCTGTCGACGCCTGCTTGGAGCAAACGCTGATAGACATCCGCGAGCTTTTCGTTTGTCTCGGTCTCAAGACGGCTACGGAACAGCGATGAAATGGTGTGGTAAGTGCTTGGAAAAGAAAGAAATACCTGATCCTTGTACGCTCACTCTGCTGATTCTCGTATTCTTGCTTTGAGCGCGCATGGTCGCCCTGGAGGGTGGCCAGCTTTTCCTCGAGCTTTGAGAATCAATAAGCGGGTGGTATATGATGAACTCGAAAGAAACATACCTCTGACTTGCTGGTTTTCTGAGTTTGCTCGTCGCCGCGCAGCCTTTCTTGGTTCCGTTGCAACTCTTCATCTTTGGCCCTCGCTTGAGTAAGTGTCCGGGATGTTGTCTTTTCATCTCGACCGAGCGTCTCCAGGGCCTGACGCTCAGAAACGGCGAGGACGCTGGCTGATGCTTTTCTGTTTGTGGCATTAACACTGCAAAACACACGCTGACGTGTGTGACTCACAGTGAGCGATATTCGGCTAGACTGTCTTCGCTGAGGGAAGTGTTATGTTGAAATGCACGTCTGTGCGCCTCTGCATACAAAGAGGATGAAATAAAAGGAAACGATGTAACGGATGGCTTACCTGCAGCCTCGTCTGCAGCCTGTTTAGCATTGGAAAGATCTCGCCTAAGCGAGTGGAGCTTAGCTTGTTGACGTTCATCATCATTGCCAACCTGCTCCTGTATCTTCTGTGAATTTTGCAGTTTTCTGGATGAGTGCTTGATCTGAGCGTCCACCTCCACTAGCTCAGGTTCCTACTATGCGTTAAAGTTAGTTAGTAGTAAATAGCAAAATCAGCTGACCTTAGCTTCCAACGCCTTTTCGGCCTTCTTGACTTTCTTCTCCTCTCGTACGACTGCTGTGCGGGCCCTCGCTTGCTCTGCACGCACGTTCTCAAGAGCCTTCTCGTGTTCTTCATGCTCTGCACGTAAACCAGCGAGGGCCTTCGACTTTGTTTGAATGTCGCGGGCATTCGCTTCGAGTGCCTCTTCAATGTGGAAAAGCTTATAGAGAATGCGTTTCAAGATAAGGTCATCCTGGGAACATGTGAGTATTGCACGGAAAATGATGTAACGCAGGCGCACCTTTTGATCGCACAAGCTCTCAAATCGTTCTGCTTCGCCTTTTTGTTCCTTATATTGTTTTATTTCGCCCGCGATTCCTCTCCTCTTCGTGAAGTTGAATGTTGCGTTCTCTGTTGCGCGTTCTTGAGCTTCCTTGGCTTTCTCATACTCCTGGGCAAGCTCAAGAGAACCTGATATTTGCTCTATGAGGCGTGAAAGCTCTCTTGGAGACTGAGATGCGACAGCCTCGACATCACCCTGGAAGACGAGGAAATTCTTGGCTTTGACGAGGATGTTGTGGGACGTCAGGGCGGCATTGTACGCGGAGTAGGTGACGACCTTATTGTTAAGACGGTATTCAGACGCTCCAGTGGTCGATATGCTGCATTAAAAATAACAGTCAGAATTCCCGGGTATGTCAAACCAGGTAGAACACACGTTCGTTGGAATAACCACTCCTTTCTCTTTTCATCCTGAAACACTGCAAGCACCCATGCCTTCTTGGCGGTCCCTTCACCCTGGTCATCACTATTATCATCGTCTTCCTGGTCTTGCGTGGCATCGGAGCCATCTAAAGGGCCTTTGGCGAGCCGTCGCCCACGGTAGACGAGATCTTTCAGCTGGCTGCTGCGCAGTTGTGCACTCTTTACACCAAGCACAAAAGAGATTGCATCCATGAGGTTTGATTTTCCAGCACCATTGGGGCCGATAACGGAGGTGAAGTTCTTGAACGGTCCGATGACTTGGTGGCCCCTGGAAGGGAATAGGTAGACCCGATAATTATTAGAAATATTAGATCTATGACTTAGTCCTTGACAAGATATTATATGGGCGCACCGATACGACTTGAAATCGCTCACTTCTATGCGGATGAGGGGCATATTGACCAAGCCAACTTGAAATATTACTGGTCTTATAGGTACTGGCAGTTGCTTACCGGTCTAAGTGATACTGGTAATAAGCACTTGAACGCGACATTGTCACAAACACGCCTGTCACATGCACGTGTGACATTACTCACTGGGTGATCACCTTCAGAAACTATTCAAGTTCACCACTTTACGTAGTATGGCATCAGCATGGACGTATGTACAGACCGAATTCACATATTTTACTATGTCCAAATGTACAGCAAGAATGCCAACTTTATCACTAACATTTTGAAACAAATCTTGCATAGTAAAAAAAACCCCAAACCACCAGTGTTAGTACAGTAAAATGTCATAGGGCGCAACGACTTGAGCAAGATTGTGTGCCTACTGAAATCGGATGACATTTTGTAGTGAAGCTGCGCACTACAGTCTGCATCTAATCATAGGTCATTGAAACGAGCTCTATGTTTTCATACCTGAGCCCGCGAGGTGACCGAACAGGGATTTGGATCTCGAAGTCGAATGAAAGCAAACAGCATAATTTGCAAAAAGTGGTGCTCTATGGAAAACGGGAGTACTTTGTATCACAAGAATCTTCCGGTCTTCAAGACCTTGCATGACGCACATGGTAATGATGGTCGTGTGGGTACAGACGGTCGCGAGAGTTACCACAGGAGGGGCACCACGGGGGTTGTGTACGGATGGGAGATGCCGTCAGTCAGCATGACTCGAGCTCGACGGTGGATCAAATCACTCAGTCTATCAATGGATCAGCAATGATTTTGGTAAGAATTGAGGTTGTCAAATAATGAATGAACAAGCTCACGCCCTGACAACAGAACAGCGACTGTTGCTCCAGTGAGCAAGATAACAGGTCGATGGAGGACGAGTATACTCACAAGCCGTTCGTTTAACATGAAATGGGTGGTTGGACAAGACCGGCCTGTTTACACAAACCCGATACGCGTTAAACGAATTGGTTGAGAGTCTCAGTAAGGACCTGCAGAGATGTTTGCATGTCTTACATCAATTGTGGCTCCCGGGCCCATCTTCCGTAGGTGGTCCCAAGCTCTGCAGGTGCTTCATATCAATCATGCGAGTGATCATAACTTGTGGTGGTCGTCTCTTTGGGTCGTAAAAATGCACTACCAAACGGCGCCCAGGCCAGAGTTCCCAGAATAGTTTTCAACTGCCGTGGCTCATCATGTGACACGTCACGTGTGGCTTACCTTAATGGCTGAAATAGGAAAGCTGCTCTGAGAGTGCGTGTCTGGTGTTACTCTACCAGCACTTGTTGTTCGATGTTTCAGTGACTCGCTACAATCCATTAGTTTTCTCGCATGAACTCTCGTCCTCGTCACCATCGCTGGAACCGTATGATCGTTACCAAGAAATCCTCAATTTCTTCCATATCTCTGGTCTTTGGGGAAGCACAACACGTTTCGTCGTCCCAAACCGCAGCTGAGAAGCTACCTCAGATCCTGCGCAAAGCTAATCCTACATCTACATTAAGCTCGATGTCAAAGGCTCAGTCAGAGGAATCTTTAGACGAGATACCGGCCTCTGCTCCTTTTAGCCAGCCCACCAGTGCCCACGAAGTAGAGCAACTTGAAGTGCCGACCACTCATGATCAATCGTTGGCGTCAGAAGGTACCCTTTCGTATTTTCATGCTTTCTCACTTTTGAATGTGTTATATCATTTTCAGGTTCACATAATATTCCTACGCTTCGACCGCCTAGCGAGAGCGACATAATGACCGTAAAGCCAGGTGCAGATGTGACTTCCATAGACTTAACAGCGCCTGCTCCGTCTGATCCTATCTCTCTCCGCGATACATCCGTCACAACTTCGTCTCATAAATCTTCTTGGTTTACCTCGTGGACCCGAGGAAAAGGGGAACAGCCACCTGAATCTGGCGTCGACCCGACCCGACCCCCGAGCTCGGTGCAAGCATCCGCGAAGGGATCATCGATATCATCGAAACCTCTACATTCAGATATTCTTACCGCCTCTTCACTCCCACATCAACCACCTGTTCTCAATATAACTGGAGATGCTGGCCAAAGCAGTCCACCCTCATCTTTTCCTCAGGATATACCTATACAAATGCGTTCAGACGATAAAATAACTACTTCTTGTTCAGCATCATATAAATGTTCTTTGCCGCCAGCAGGCCATCATTCTGGACCCGGCACCACTTCCGTACCCTCGCCGCTGGATGAGCCTCCAGCGACTCCGTCTGCTGTTCGGCAGAGCAGTGATACATCACAGTCTACTTTGACGCTCAATCACACTACCAGCCGGTTTACACTGAGCATCCCTTTACTCGGACGACCAAAGCTCCCTCTTGAACAGACTGTTGCTGCAGCTCAGCGTGATGATATCACTACGATGCTGCCAGCGGACTCATCTCCGTCTCACAAGCAACAATTCACTACGAAAGGTTTGTTACGGCCCTCCGATTAGTGAGATAGCTGAACACATTGTTTCATAGAATCCGTACCGTTTACTACGGAGACCCCTTCTGCTCCGGTCGCAGTGACGACCGAGGTGAATATCGCAGCAGATACTATATCTCAACCTGATGGGATGGTTCACAAGGGTGCCTCAGGTGCCACTGAGGTTACTAATGCGCAGACAAGCATATGGTGGACATATCTCGGATGGAGTAATGCTCAAGCATCTGAGAGTCATATACAAACAGAACCAGTTTCAAACGCTCCTGCCATGTCACCGGTCTTTTCCGATCCACCAGCTAGTGAGATGGCGGCACAGCCAACTGCCGACTCCACCGTTGTTCCTCCGAAGTCGGAAAATAGCGCCGAGGAGCAGATCGCACCACAGAAGGCCCCTTCCGTGTTATCGACCGACGCATCAGAGTCGCAAGGCTCTGCATGGTATTCCCCGTGGTCGTGGTACCAAGGCTCGTCTACTCCTGTGAAATTCACAGGTTCTCCTCCGGGTACTCAAGTTGTCTCCGATGGAGAGGGGAACGTTCAGTCGGAACTTCGCCAGGATGATGAAGCCTTGAACCAGATGGTTATTGCTGTTCCCCCTTCGTCGGATTCACAACCACCTGCTAGCGATGAAAATCCGATATCATCGACAATTACTAGTAACAAATCGGGCTGGATCTCATTTTTTTCTGCTCGTGCAGTGGCGATGAAGAGCATTACGAATGAAAGTCACAATGAAGAAATGGAAGTTATGGATTTGGACGAGGATGAAGCCAGTCCGACGACTGGCACTCCATCGTCAACCGCTTGTTCCGCTCCGTTGAGCAAGGATGTCAATATCCCATCTCCGAGTTCGACGGGTGTGCCGCATATTTCTGCTTCCTCGCCATCTCTAGCTCAGAATAAACCTGAACATAAATCTATTCCGACTAATGGCTCGGCCAAATCTTCAAACGCCATCCGGTTTGGCGCCAACAAGCGCCCACCATCTCCAACGCCCTCGAAGAAGTCGGGGGTGAAGACCCCTACAATTGCTCCACCAAATTTGGTCTTGCCCACATGGGACGATACTTTTCACACGCATCCTCGCGCCCATGTGCCTCCTGAGCCTCCGTCTGCTCTTTCCAAGACATTTCAATACGTCAGCGAAGTACTCTTTGCGCGTGATGAGACTGCCTCACACAAGAAAGGCAAGGGAAAGTCTGCGGAGAGGCCTTTGGAGCCCTATGAAAAGGCGCTCCCACGTTCGTGGGATGTGATTACAGGACAGAAACAACAGGACGTGCTGCGAGGATGTCAAAGGGCAGTTGTGATTGGTGTGCATGGGTGGTTCCCTGGTGTGTGTATTTTTCATACGAGGAAAAATAATGCTCATACCCAGCCTCCGAAGGCGCTGTCATGCGGACAGTTATCGGAGAGGTTAGTGTATGGTCGTGTGTGTATCACAGTTTGACTGATCGTTATGCAGCCGACTGGGACAAGTTTAAAGTTTGTGAACATGGCTGTTCAGGCGTTGGAAGAATTTCAGGACAAGCACGAGGTGAAGCTATCAAAAATCACCAAAATACCCCTCGAAGGTGAAGGCACCATCAGCCGCCGAGTGGATAAGTGCGTTCTGAACAACTTTTTCTCAACAAGATCTCTTTGATGCTCACACGACCATCTCGTGAAAACAGGCTATATCAGAACCTGATCGGGAATAAGGAATGGATGGATGACCTCCAGACTGCCGATGTAATATTTTTTGCTACGCATTCCCAGGGATCAATTGTTTCGACCCACATCTTGGATCGCCTCATCACCGATGGCCACATCTGCACAGCACCACGTGACTCTGCTAACGCTCCTGGTAGCAGTATCACACGCCCTCCGCAAAGGGTGTGTTGTCTAGCCCTGTGTGGAATTCACTTGGGACCACTGCGATATCTGAGCACGAGCTCATTAGTCCTACCTTATATCCAGGTAAGTCATTCGATCCCGTTGGGCACCCAAGTTTATACAGAACGAACCTAGTACTTCGAGTCGATTGCTGCCCGGGAGTTGTTCGAATTTCAGGTAAGCTAGTTGCATAAAGTGGGACATTATCAGGTGATTGCGTTACCACCATCAGAACACCGACAGTCAGATTTCAAGAGACTACGTAAAGGCCTTGAGAAATGTTCTGGATAATGGAGTATGCACTATATCCATAGCTGATTATTTATCAGATTAACGCCATCGTGTTCAACAGGTCAAGATGGTGTATATTGCGTCCTTGAATGATCAAGTAGTAGGGCTGTACTCCGGGCTGTTCACTTCAGTGGCGCATCCCTTAATTTTGCGTGCGCTTTACATTGATGGAGATGCATACCAGTGCGTGTCAGACATGTCACTTATCTTACGCAAGTTCGGCTCACGTCGCAATTTTTTTTAGTTCTTCAGACTTCCTATCCAATCTTCTCGTTCTCCTGCTACGTATTCGGAATGCAGGGCTATCAGATGGTGGACTCCTTGCGCATTTGTCGGAGTCAACCGCTGGATCGCTGAATGGGGTTGGACATTCGACCGCATACGAGGAGACTGCCACATATTCGTGAGTACTATTCTTTGACCAATGAATGTGATTGACCCCACAAGCAGATTCGCAATCAACTACCTTTTCCTATCTGACTCTGGGCAACACCCACAAGTTGAGCTTGCGATGGAGTCATTTGATGCGCGAACGGAGCAGAATGATTACGAGGTTTGCTACTGCATGTCATATCTGTTTCTCGCAATGAATTTCCCTTCTAGATTCCCTGGGCTCTCCGTGACCTCATTGCTGACGATAGAGTCGCCGAGCTCTTTTCAGATGATTTTATTCGTCTGCGAGATGCTTTCCGAGATTGGCAACCCAAGACTGCAATTTTGCGTGATGTAAAAAGGAAGCTCCAGCCGATTCAAAGACTGTCATCAGCCATGATTTCCAAACATGCCGATTCCATGAGCAAACTATAATGTACCCTCATTGCAGGCTCTGATCGAATCTGTGGGCTTTGCTGTTCCGATCTGCTTACATTGCGTTTTAGATTTCCACACCGCACTCGTGAAACAATATTCCCCGTCACTGTATATCATTCATTTGCATTGCCCCTCGTAGCCAGTACCCACAAATATATATATATATATAATTCATCGAGATCATTGCTATGCAAGGGAACAAAGTAAGCTCCGAAGCCCACAGAGTACGGATGAAGCTCCACGGACCACGAGTCCCGGATCTTACATGGCTGCTACACAACACAGCAACGACGGCGACGGAACCGATGTGGCTTGCGATGTTGGTGTTCGCAGCGATGAAATCAAAGGGTTGATGTGATGGAGCTTGAAAAATCACATGGAAGAACGTTGATAGAGCGCTGGAGGCTGGGTATGGCATCAAACTTTCCGGACCCCACCTAATGATGCAGATCCTTCTTCTGAGAATAGTATAATATCTTCTGGCGAATGTGATTCTGAAGATGTGCACACAGATCTAGTTTTCTAAATTCTCATCAAATATACACCACAATCACAAGGTGAATAGCTGTACAGAAAAATGATAGTACAGCCATGTCAACGGTATTCGGCCCCACAGTCCCCTATCAAGGTGATCATCCGGCGACCATTGGACCGAGCTTGTACTGCTTCAATGGCACGATTATCCTCGTCAGTCAAGCTGAAACCAAAAACACGATCGTTGTCATCAGTGTGTTCAGAAACTCCCAAACGGGCGCCTGCAAGCAATAAAATAAATCTCCGCTTCGAGGACAGACAAATATCTTACCAATGATTACAGCTCCGACAAAAGAGTGATCAAGGACCCATCGTGTGGCTATGTTTGCAATGCTTAGCCCTCCATAACGATCACCGATATCACGCAACACAGCCAAGAGGGACTGGAATAGTGCCCAATTCCCCCAGGCCTTCAAAATCATATCGAGATACTATAGGCGGTTATGAGATTTTGCCGTACGCGCTAGGCGACCCTACACGGAGCAGAAGATCCGTACCTTGCGCTGAGATGGTGTCAAAACACCGGAATACAGGTCTGGTTCCGGTTGATTTAGCCACTGATCTGCTAGAAATCCACCGCACTGCCAAACACTGTGTATAGTGATCTGAGATCAGGGTGAAGAAAACCGATACACGTACAAGCGTGCCGTATGTTAATAATTTCACGTTGTGCCGTTCACATACATCAGCCATCCCGTGCAGGGGTCGAGTGTCAATCAAAGAGAACTAGATCATGGTGAGAACTATAATGAAGCATTGGTTTGGAATGCTAACCTGAACTTGATTTGAAACGATGAAACCAGGCCCTAATTGTGTACATATTTCATCTGTTCGTATGGCATCAAAATTGCACAGGCCGACCGCGCTGATGAGCCCTTCGTTCTGAAGGTCTTGGAGAATCTGGAGGGCGGTGAGATATCCTTTATCGGAGTAGTCTTGCCAGTGAAACTACAGGGGAAGGCCAGGGTTATGATAGTACAGAAAGGGTATCGAACCCTCACTCACTTGCAACAAGTCCACAGTGGTGGTGCGCATGCGTGTCATACGCTCCCGAACCGCGTTCTCCACCACAGCACGCGACAAGTCTGTTTGTCGGAATACACACCATTTTGTGGCCCCGACAACTTCTGCCGGGCTGGGTAGTGATTCTTTGAATTGCCCCTAAAATGCCAGGTTGATTGAAGATTCTAGGCGTGACCTGGGTGATACCGGGGAAGTAACTTACGTAGAGTATTTCCGCGCTTCCATAATGATCGGCTGTGAGATCTTACTGAGCTCATGGAAGATGTGATACAGATTTGAACATACCCTATACGCCGATACCAACGAAGTCAGCTTTATTTGAATGACCTATCAAGGAGCACAGATTGCGTACCATATCTACCAAAAATGGCGTTCACAATTGCAGGGAACACACATGACCTGACATTGTGACTTACCGAAAGCATTATAACCTCTTTCGATGTGCCTAGCCATTGCTTGACGAATCTTCGCTGCCGAAGCGCTTCCCCAAGCATTACTTGACAACTGCCAAAGACCTACCCATACTCGAGGAACAGTAAAAGGACCGAGAGGAAATGTCTCTTTGGGTTGCGGTGTTGTTCTAAGCATAGTTGGGAGCGGGATAGGAGACCTTGAAGGCAGTCAAATGTGGCATTATAATGTTTCATTATCAAACTCCGTTCCAATCCAAACGGACCACCCGGCGCCAAGGGATATGCAGAAATCACCTGTTAGATTTAGGACATGTTTGACAGACCCGGTTTTATGATTTGACATGATGGAGAAAGTGAAAAAAAAAACGAAATTAGTATTCATTTCACGGCAAACAAGTAATAACCGCTGTGACTGTAGTACGTACCACGTACGAAAGGGTCAACCTGTGTTCATCAATGATGATCTGACCTGCCTTGAAATAGTTGCGGGACCAGTCCTTGATGACACTTCCAACTGGGCTGATGCCCGAGAATATGCACCGCAAAGTGTTAAATAAGTTCGGATCCAGCTGTCCGACAACTCGTGTCTCCCTCACAATCCATTCACCAGCGCTCATCCTGTTACAATGCCCGCTCCTGAAGTTACACCTCTCCATACACACACTGAGACTGCCAAAACATTGGGGCATGTGTAAGTCGTCGTCTTACCCTTAGCATCCTTGCCCGTTTACTGATGATCGTTTGTAGTAACTTGATGGTGAGCCAGTCTAAGACACCGTAAAGTCCCACCTAAAGGGCGCTCTCACAGGTAGACACATTGATCGCCAATGCCACGATAGAAGAGCAAGTACTTGTCATCTCGGCTGCCACGTCAGAACGCTGACAATGCTGACTCCCAAGCAGTTTGCGCGCGATCACTCGAAATCTCCTCGCAACCGGCACTCCCAGTCTTGCAGCCGCATTCACAGCCGCAGCACGATCGCGTCTTCGTCATACCAATGCTAGACGTATAGCGACAACAAATGGTTTATTCACGACTAGTCAAAATGGTATCCATGCCATTCCCACACAAGAGCTAGATAATGCCCTCGCCCGCGCCCGTTCTCTATATGGAGCTGGAATGGGTTTTGCAAGTTTGGCTATCCTTTCTTCTATTGTCAAAGCGACTGTTGGTTTGAGATGGGAAGAAGATGGCGCAATGGCCGATGTTCTGGCAGCTATCGATACGGACATTAGCCAAGCCATGCAGGTTGGTGTCACACAACTCCCCCGCATATCATCCACTAATCGGATGGTGACAGAGTTGCAAAGAAGAACTGGAAGGTGGACGCGTGAGCGATACGGCAATTCCTCAGGAAGCGATAGGCAATCTATGGTCGGATATCGGGGAAAGTGCCAGGGACGTCGAAATTTGGGGAGGAGAATTTCCTTTTGACAGAGCATCCAATAGCATCGAGTGCTGGAAGTTTTAGCACACCTGTCTAGAGTTGTAATTACAACTTGACTGATTATCTCGTTGTGGAGCGCACACCACGTAGCCACTGTTGAGCCTGAGGGCATTTAGCGTGTAACCACCAGAATCATGAGGGTGGTAAACACTAATCTGAAGCCGGCTATACGGGAATCAAAGTAGACAGCGGGATCAACGTGGATAAATCTATCAGAAATAGGACATCTCCATTCACCAAGAAGTGGATACTAACCGGCGGAACGCTCCACACAATGATAATCGGAGTGGCGAGGCGTGTTTTGTTGACCGGTAAATTGATTGCAAAAAGTAATGTCAACCCATCCAGGCAACCCTAAAGGTTGCCTAAAGTTGAAGGACGCCAAACCACGGCAAGGTAAGCTTAATCGTGATGGCATATACTAATCTGAAAGTCAAAATGCAGTTTCCTGAGTATTCCTTTTAGAATAGTTCAAGGAACGTGCCGTTTTGCGATCACGGCGCGAAGTTCTAATTCAGCGCTGTCCAATCGTCGCTCGCTGTTCGGTAAAGCCTCGAAGGTCAACGTAAACTCGGGCTTGTGCAGCGTCAATGGTGTTCGCCGCTACTTGAGGATGTGGCGAACCCACAAGCGAATGAGGGTCGCTGATTCGTGCTAGAAGTTAAGTAATATCATTACTTACCGCTGATGACCAACTCACGCATATTTTACAGGTCCTAAATGTCCATACGAAAGGGGTATCAGACTTCTCAGTAATAACTCCACGCAACGGCATTCACTGAACTGCGGAATGGGCCGAATGACACCTGGACCATCAAATTATGTACCAAGGGACCAAGGGACGCGATGGTACTGAGGGCTGAGAGTCACGAACCTGAGGGTAGTACACGCAACCTGAACATCTCGTGGGAGGGTAGAAGAATCGTGCGCTCAGATCGCGCTTCTAGAAAAAGCCCGCCAAATAGCGCCTGAGTCCAGACCACCGCTGCATCCGCTGGCCGCAAGGATGAAATAGAATCATGATCCGCCTGTAGCTAAGAGAATTTTCAAGCGAGAGGCGAAACGCTCTAAGACTGATTTGGACACAGTTTCTGAGTTCTCGGCGTCAGGCAAATTTTTTGATCGGCGATTTAATTCTATGCCTCTAACCACCATCACCCAACACGTATTCGACGATTCGATCTCCTACAAATTGCGACCTCAAGGCCTCATCAGCTTCAAATATTAGCCTAAGTGCTTAACCTTCAGGATGCTATGCCTCTAATATTGGCGACATGTCGCTTTTATCGGGCACTCGTTTTGGTCACAGACCGGTCAATTTACCTAACATTTCGAGTCACAATTCAACATGCCATCATTCTTGTCCGTGGACTGCTTTATGTGACGCTTACGCGTGGCCACATTAACGGCTTTCTGCAGTTATCCGTGAACACGAGCTAACTTGTTCTTTCCCACCCTCAACTGAGACAAGCGTTACATTTATGTGCTTCTGATCAGAGGTTAAAAGTCTGTCTTGACATCAAGAAGAGCTATACAATCCAAGACGGTTTCAGTTAACAGTAGTAAGACACATTATTGACTCGATTTGGAATGACCTAACCAATCATTGGGTTATTTTGAGGTCCTTAGTCGAGCCCACCAATCACATCGCCTACGGTGCTCAGCGCCCATGGGCGAGTCCTTGCTAAGTTAACGTAAACTGCTCGGAATGACATCCTGGCGTCAATGCAAGGTTTCAGCATGACCGGCATCTTGCTCTCAATATAGCATTTGTCAGAATGCGGTCAAGTACAGCTGACCTAGCGCAAAACGCTCGTGTCCGCTCTATCGTCGCCTTTGGCTATGAGAGCACATAGCATGACTCAGTGCTATCCTTCATAGCTTACAAGATCCTTCTAGACCCTGAAGATGAGTCTACTGGATACTTGACATTGCGATTTTAAGCTCTACTTCACTTTGTGTCGCCTGCGGATGCTGTTGTATGTTCAGTCACGCGCATTGTCATCATGATATCCATGAGAGCCGTGTGTAGAGTTCTTCCCAAACACTAATCTTGCAATCACTCAGTTGATGACTATTGAAGATCTAGTAGCATATGGTGAGTGACAATCCTTTTTTTGAATTGATACTGAAGATGTAAGGAGTAGAACCTCACATGCGCTTTACTTTTGATGTTTTGACTCCAGCTTATTAACTGGCTTCTGCGAGTCGGCTCTTGAAGGATACCTGTTAGCCACCTGTCCTCCACCTCGACAGGGGGCAATTGAGTTTCTGGCTATCGATGTGAGCTCTTCTGTTACATGCAGCCCCATGGCGGTTTGCACCATGTGAGATGTTCGGTATCATTTCAACAGTCAGGAACGAACGTCCAAGGCCGCCATTCACCAGATCCATAAGTGGCCCGTTGATTGCCGGCTTATATGTTGACCGAGTGACCGCACGTATTTCTATTTTCCATTTTCCAGATCGCATCGACCAGGTCGGTCTCTTTACCCCACAAAAGTGATTATTAAGTAGTGTCATATGGTCGGGTATCACATACAACTGTGCCTGATTTTTGTGCGGTTTATTTGGGTTTTTCATGCTGGCCCTGGTGAGCAGAGTCGGAGGCTTCTTTGGTTGCGGCTGATTTGATTGTCACCACCTAGTTCGTGCCGGAGGCTTGCGTCTTTGTCATTCAGGACGAAAAACGACGTGTGCTGAGGCGACAGCCCGGGCGAGCTACGCTGATATGCCATGTACCCTCTGACTATGGAAGTCCTGCGGTTCCCAAGTTCCACGCTCTAAGTGACAGACGATGAGTAAACCTTGCTCTAGCCATTCTTGTCAGTTACGTACTACGAGCTTTATAAATCTTCATTCTGCCGCCTGCCGATCCTCGCCAATGAGATTGCTGTTCGATACGCTTATGACTTTTTCTCCTTTTGGTATCAACCTGTTTACTACAAAACCTATCAGGCATCCTATAACCTCCCAGAATTTGTTCGAGCTTTACTCATGTGGTGTATTTTCCTGATAAAAACATTTGTGTTTAAGAACCCACTGGCAGGCGATTCAAAAATCGTGTTATTCAGTTACTCATGCCAGATTTACCACTGTTGCAAAAATATGCAGCGCCTGATTGATTCATGAGACTCAAATTCGAGCAAGGCCAGAGTTGGGGAGTTGCCACTGCAAGGACTTGTGAGTTATCGTCGTTCAACCAACGGATTTATTGGCTTGGGGTGACATCATATTGTCATGGATCACCGGCACCCCCAACAATCTCATCCTTTGTATACATACTTTGATTTTACGTTTCATATATATGTTAAATCGTAGTGGAGTAGTGGAAAACATTGACGGTCCTTTGGGTGAGGTTTGCAGTCCAACAGGGTGGTGAAAAAAATACATTTATCGTAGTCGGAATGAGCCAGTATCAACCCACAATAACTAGGACGCTGAGCGGAGCTGGGACCAGGTCCGCAGCAATGGTCTCAGGACTGCGATCCTTTCGAACCCCGCTCGGCAATGCAGGACTTGGACTCATTTGTCTCGTGGTCTCTATCAACGTAGTACACTTGGCTAGTACTAGTGCCATCGTTAATTCTGCCAAGCTCTGCTCACAACATCTTGCTACTGGCTTACATATCTGCAATAACGAACAATCTCTAGGCTGAGTACAATTTTTAGGCCGGTTTCCCATCATGATTGTTTGTGAGAGCGATTGTATTATGAATCAACTTCCTAGTACTACTAGTAGGGCACAGCTAGCCTTTAATGGTGAGTTGCCCTACCATTAGCCTTCTTGCTAACGTTTCATCGCATGACTATGTAAACGGAAGAACGTTCCGATGTGACTCCGATGATCCGTTCTTAATTAGGGATGCGCTCTAACATAGTGCGAGCGTGTGATCATGATCTCGACTCTCGACACCAGACCTTCTGGAAATACTGGATGAACACATTCATCACATTTAGTTTCGGAGACTAACTGCAATTTCCAGTCGCAGACGTATATGTTTTACTACTGGCAACTTCGTCCAATCTTGTTACATCGGTTCATGGCACTTCAAACGTTCATGGCGACCTTATGAGGCGGCCGCCGCTACAACCATACTCCACCAATATTAATGGCATCTAGTGCTAACTATATCAATCATTTGTTTCGCACCTGCTTACAATACCGACCCTCACTTTTCTCTGTAGTCCAAAAGGTCCTTAGGCTTGTCATACCATGTCGACGTTGACAAGGATATCAGGCTCATTTAGTCATCCCGACGATGCTGCTACTACAAAGACCGAATTGTCTGCCTTACAAAATGCCGAAGGTGACCCACACCTCGTCGTCCTCGAGCCAGAGGATAATCCGCAGAACATATCCTTGTTCAGACGGTGGCTCGCGGTCCTGATCATCAGCTCTGCCTCTCTTTGCGTGACGTGTGATTCATCGATTGCGAGTCATTTTATATCTCATTCTGGTCAAGACTAATTGCGCTTCAGGCTGCATTCACAGAACAAGGTTCCGCCCAAACATTTCATGTCTCACATGAAGTGACCATTCTCGGAATTAGCCTATACGTGTCAGGTCTCGGAATGGGACCGCTTCTCGTTGGCCCGTTGTCCGAAGTGTATGGTACATCCAATATTTCTTATCTAAAAGCATACTCTCACGGAGTTGGGCAGGCCGAAATGTTGTATACCGGGTATCTTATGCGTTATTCTTCATCCTCACGTTCCCCGTGGTGTTCGCTCCCAATATCGGTGAGTCCATTTATTACTGGAATGGATGATGGACCCACAACAAAATAACAGCCGTTTTCTTGGTTTTTCGCTTTATTACTGGATTCTGTGGATCAACCTTTCTGAGTGTAGCTGGAGGTAGTGTAAGCGATATGTTTCCAAATTCGAGCATTGCAAAGTAAGCCCTTGTATTTGCGTTCTGATCGATGTTCTGCTGAATTATGTGGCAAGTCCAATGGCTGTGTATACCATGTAGGTTTAATTGAACAACGATAGCAACTAAATTATATTATGGACTGATCATCGTGAAGATCTCCATTTATCGGACCAGTGGTTGGTCCCTTGATTTCTGGGTACGTTCATTATACTTTCTTGGCAGCACTGTTTCTGATATGACGTGATGGTGTAGATTCATCAATCAGGTCGGACTCAATTGGTCTGATGCTTGATCCTCATTTGACATTTTTGTGATAGTACCTATACTGGGAATGGACGTATCGAGTGCAGTTGTGTTGGATTTTTGCAGAGTTGCTGATATTGGTTATAGTGCGTGTTGCATTTATTTTGTTAGACGGATTAATTTATGGATTGAATTTAGTTTATTCCTGAGACGTACGCCCCAGTGATCCTGAAGAAGAAGGCAAAAAGGTGGGAGTGGATGTCCGCTTTTTGCTCATTTTTGCGCGATACATTATCCTGCTTGACAGACTGCGGGAGTCGACTGGAGACCCAAAGTTTTATGCTCCTTTGGATAGACGGGAAAATACCCTCGTTTCTGCTGTCCTCGTCAGTTGCTACAAACCGTTTCGTAAGTCATCAGGGGTTATCTCCACTTCATCACAAGTAATGATATGGCACCTTTACTAGAATTACTTCTATTCGACCGAATGGCACTGCTTTTAGACTCCTGGTAAGGGCAATGCAACTCATTGACACACAGTGTAAGTCCTGATCATTCTAGGAATGCCCTTGTTCTTGGCATCCTATACCTGGCATTCCAAGCATACCCCATTATTTTCGAAGATAATCATGGATTTGATATGCAAACCACTGGATTAGCGTTTGCTGGGATTGGACTCGGGATGCTTTTGGCCATTTCAACACAACCGCTCTGGAACAGGGGGGTCCCTTTTTCTCTGATGTTCAGCATTAATATCAATATTTACAATACTCGTTTCTAGGCTATATGCCCGTGAAACTGCCAAATATAACGGCGATCCACCTCCTGAGATGAGGCTTATTATGGGTCAGGTTGGAGCGATACTCGTGCCAGTGGGTCAGTAACCAGTGGTTCCTGGTCGAGCGATGCTCACCATATTTGCAGGTTTGTTCTGGCTCGCGTTCACTACATATCCGCAAGTCCACTGGATTGCCCCAATCATCGCGTCTGTACCTTTCGGCTCCGGGATATATTTTGTCTTCACATCAACGTTCACGTATCTTGTAACTGCATACCGCCCAATTGCTGCCTCCGCCATGGCAAGCAATAGTGCATTGCGGTCAGCATTTGCTGCTGCATTTCCGCTATTCGCGGGAGCCATGTATGATAGACTGGGGACTGTTGGCGCCACCGCTCTTCTAGCTGGCCTCGCAACGATCATGGCGCCATTACCGTGAGTCAAACGACAGTAAATGGTATGCAACATTAACCCTCCTTTCTGACCATCAGTTTCATATTTTACCGAATTGGCGCGCGACTGCGGAAGAATTCGCGTTTCGCAGCACATTGATATTTTACGCATACGACCTATGAATATTAATATTGTCAAACGACAAAGCTTCAACGCGTCGTACGGCCGTCGGCAAATCGACTTGATTTATGAATTGACACATCGACGGCGATGGCGGCTTCTCTGAAACAAACACCAGACGATCGCATATCCATATCCCAGAAACTATTTACATACTTTCCGCGTGGTTGATCAAAACGGGTGCGTGGCTATAAAACTGAGTTTCCGATGGGTGTCGCGATATAACGCAATGAGTGCACATGCACCTGTCATATATCTGTCGCTGTATCACTGAAACGGAGAGGCTGTCGCTGATGTATCGATAAGCCCAGGCACGACTAAGGCAGCCACATGAAGGACCACCATGCATGGAGATTTAATACTCACACGAGCCTCGCCATTCTGACTGGAACGTTCGACATCAACTTGGTTTGGGACATTGATATCAGCCATTCTTCCTCCGACCGCCACAGGTTCCACGGTGTGTTTGTTTTCCGGGAACCCTTCCGCAGTAACAACCAACTTGATGGTGTCAGAAATCCATATCGGCATTGCTTTTTTTTTAATCCAATTTTTGTCCAGTTGGGAATGGGCTCCCTTATCGGCATTCCTGCGAGTGATGCCCATGCTATTGCCATCTTTTTGGGACTGGTGCATATAACAGGTTAGCATCCCAACTCTCAAATAGTTGCTGAGAGACCGAAAGAGCAGCAGTCTCTCCTAAACGTGTACTTAATCACCACTGTGATATCCAAGTAGGTGATTCCCTCGTTACATGATTGATATCATTCACACTAGCGCTATAGCGCTATCCTCTTTATTGGCAAACTGCCAACCCGTAGGAAAATATCTGACCGAGATGGGCAGTAGTACTAACATTACTGATGCGGTGCTGGGCCCACCCACCCACTCCAGGAACACCCACGCTAATTTGAACATAGTAAGTCATCCGCCCTAAAATTCAATTAATCATCCCTAATCAACGAAACTGCGGCGGACGGCGAGGGCGCTTGAGTTAGACTGCACAGTTCTGTGCTAGTTAGTTCCACCTGACTAGAGGTCGTATGTGTATTCCAGAGTATTTTTCTCAAGAGCCGAGAAACCCGCGTCCGGAACGCTATATTCACCGTTCAGAAGGATTCGCCGCCGCTCAGGAGGTAGCACGTGGGTGTTTGCGGTCGTGTGCTTGGTTTCCTGTCGTTGATGTCGGACATTCACTAGCAGACCGGACGCGGCAGCAGCTGACATATAATTCATTATACGCAGTAAGTTTTACCCGTCATTATGAATGAGTCAGAGTTCAACGGCATCTCATTACCAAGTGATGGAGGGTATCTATATACAATTATTGTAACCTGGGTATATTCTACAATGAATAACGAATATATAGGATCAAATCTGCAGTACACGAGAGCAGAAGCAAATGCAGAAAGACGAACAAAAAGTAGAAGATGAAAGCAATAAAAGCGCCAAGACAGAATGAAACACGGATTAGAAACAAACGAACGACGAAGATCCTAGAGCATAGCGCATGTGAAACATAATTATCAGGAGGCGACCATACCTCGAAGAACCATTGCTGGCAAAAAGCATAATTCATACCTCCTCATCCCCATCATCCCCCTCCCCATCGCTCATAGCATATAGACTCAAACTTGTCATATCCCCAAGGTGTAACTCGTGTTCGGGGCGTAATTGTAGACTATTCGGAGACCCGGGACCTTCTGTCATCGAGAAAGTCGCAGTGCTTGGGCTCGCGGCTACTGTGCCCGTCGATGCGAAGGAGGTGAACGATACAGATTGACTTGCGTAAGAGGACTGAGGGGCATAGAAGGGATGCGAATGAGGAATCATGGAATGCGAATGTCTATGCCCCAATTTTTTAACAACAGGGGAGGAACCGCCAGGAGAAGGTGGTGACTCGCTCATCACATTGGATAACCCCACATCCTCCAACATCAACATCGACATTTCAGGCGGTGGAGCAGGAAACAAGCTCGAGGATGTGCTTGCGCGTCTTTGTCTCTGTAGTTGACTCTTCTGTGGGGAATGAGGAGGCTGGATGGACAATGAAGGTGTAGGTTGGGACTGTTTCTGCTGCGGAGAAGGAGGTCTTAATTGCGTGGTCCGCGACGGGGAGGGGGTCCGTCCGAATGTGAAATCGAAAGACGCCTTGGTGGATACAGTATGGTGTCTGCTATGCTGCGGGAGATGTGAGTGCGATCGTTGCATAAGAGTTCTATGGGGGACAGGCGTGAGCGTTTGTGATTGATGGGCAGGGGAGATGCGGAGAGAAGCAAGATGTTTGTGAGGTAAGCGCTCGAAGTCTTGATGGCAGCGATGTGTTTTATCGGACCCATCCTCTTCGTCCCGGTTAAGTACGCCAAATCCTACATCCCTGGCCAAGCCCACATCATCTCTGTCCTGATTTGCCATACCTTCTAGCACCCTCAATCTTTCTCTTAGCATCTCATTCTCCTCCCTCAGTCTCCTGCACGCCTCCTGGGAATCCGCAAGGGCATTCAGGAGTGCGGAGGTCTCCAGACAATGCTTTTCTTGGAGCGTCCGGACGTTGGCTCCCATTGCATTCCCAACGCCAGCTGCGGCCCCAGCCCCAGCGCTAATCCCTGATCCCACACCACTGCTTACGCTTGTAGGGGCTGTGCTCCCTGAGAACGTAGTCCTCGCGGCACTCGAGAACGTCGGGCTTGGGCTCCATCCAGCACCAGCGTTCCCTGGCGTACACATGCTCCTTGTGCCCAACGAAGACGTGCTCGCAGCCTCCGAAAATGCCGCACGGGAAGGGGCATGGTCCCGCAAGGAAGCATAACGGTTGATAGTCGAATAGTCACGATCTCTATCATAACGACCAAGAGACCCTTCACGATCACGATCCAACCGGCTCATCACCGAAGTAGCGCCTTCACGATCACGATCCAACCGGCTCATCACCGAAGTAGCGCCTTCACGGTCACGGTCAAACCGACTCAGCACTGAACTTGCGCCTTCTCGATCCTGCTCAAATCGATTGACACTGACAGATCCAGCCCTCTCTCGTTCGAATCTTGCACCAGTCTCTTCTCGTTCCCCGTCGAACAACCCAGCGGCAGCAAATGCTTTGACAGTCCTCGGACCAAGCCATTCCATGGTTGGAGGTCCTGGTGTACGTGTGCTGCGGGTGAGGGGAGAAGACACAAGTCTATTTTCTCCGGAAGTAAGCTTGACTCTGCCTGCTCTCTCTCCAACTCCGTTCCTTACACCAAGCCCAAACCTCCCTGCACCATTGAGACGATTGCTCACGCTTGATCCCTGTTTCTCAACTTGAGCAGATAAGGATGAAGGCTCGTCAACGCTTAAGCTTCTCTTCCGACTGATAAAGAGGTGGGGATGATGACGGCGACGGAGATGGGTTGGGTCATGGGGGGTGCTTGTATTTGTGGGAGGGCTAGATGTGGGAGTCCTTGGGTTTGTGCTGGTAGTGGTAGCGGAGGGTGAGGAGGTAAACGTGGTCGAGGGAGACGCACTAAGACTGGAGGGCGTAGTAGAAGTAGGTACAAGGGATGTAGTGATATAGGGCACCGGAGGCGGCACTCTTACAGTGGGCACAACGTTAACATTTGGGCACGAGGATATGTGTCTCTGCGACTTTGGGTCCAGTAAGTATGTGAATTGACGCGAACATGAAAACCTCACATCAACCGATCCAATGCGAGTATCCCTTGTCCCGATATCGGAAGAGGAGCGAGGCGTGAAGTTGACGTTGACGTCTACTGATGGACGAGGCACGCATGTGTCCGAAGATACCCTCAACCCTGTAATATCCGAGGACGATCGCATCACTGTGTCCGCTGTGACTTGCCCAGCCGATAAAGGAGACGGGGGCTGACGCCTCTGCGTTCCTGTGGCTGTTTCTAAAGATGTGCCTGGTGTGCTCCCTGCGATCGAAGTAGAAGTGAAGCTCCGCATGAGCCTTGGCAAATGCGACGGTGGCCGACGCATGTTTAGAGAGGGACGGGAAATAGGGAGCTGCGTAGGTCCTGGAGAGCGTACAACTTCTCGTGAGGGTCTGGATCCCAGCGACACTGGGGATTGTGTATCTGGCTGAGGGACTGCTGATGTCCGTATGCTCGGGGATAGAGGTGTCGTTGGGTCTCGTGATAGCGGTTCGACAGAAGAGCACCCTGGTGTAGTATATCGTTCAGCTAAAGGCGCGGAGTGCAGTCGAGGACCAGGTGTTTGAGGAATTGTTGAAGCTGCAACTGGGAATGGCGCAATAATGGACTCGTTAGGTACCACTTTATCGGTGGCTGATTCTCCCATGTCCTTGCTGGGCGAGCGATGAGGGCTGAGCAGCTCAGCAAGGTCGGGATCGAGCGCACTGAAGTCAAAGGTTGCATCTGGATCTGAAAACTGAGGGAGACACGAAATCGTATCCATACTGTCAAACCCATGTTTTGCTCCCTGGGGTGAGGATGGTTGTTGAGCCACGTCTGCGTCTTCGACCACAACAGCACTGGACCAACCGTCGGCAGTAGTGGGGGATAGAGCGTCCTGGAGTTCGGCGGATAATTTTGAGAGGGATAAATCGAGATTGGATGCGGTGGGAGAGGGATCACAAGAAGTTTGAGAGGCAGAACGGTCTTTGGAAGTGAGAATGGTGCCCTGAGATGGTGGGGGTAAGAATGTGACCTTGGACGGAAAGAAAGTATGTGGCGAAGTAGGGGAGGGAGATGGGGAAGGGCTTGTGGATGGGATGTATTTCGAGATACCCGAGTTGTCAGCTTCGAGGATGGTGCTAAGGTCAGCGGGGCATGGGTGTACGGCTAGTAATGAATGTTTCATAATAACCCTTGAAAGAGAATAGCGAAATTACGAACCATACATCTCGTCATCAGGGAACTGGGAAGTAGCACAGAGTGAAGGAAGGAGACTGTCGGAGGCTGAAGCAGCGCGGACAAGATCATAGCTCCTTTTGTGCGCATTAAATTCTTCAGCATCAAGACGCGATATAGATATGACAGGGGGATTATCCTGATCACGTTGATGGTCGCGGACAGAAGAAAGGGAAGGTTTGCGATCACTGGAGCGACGGAGAGAAGCAAAGTGGAATGGGTGCTTTGTTTGTGTTGTGGGCTGAGCTGGCAACGCTGGTTTGCTATTTCCAAAGGGGAGGAGATTACGGATCGCGCGAAAGGATGGAATGCTTGACGGTGTGGATGGCGTTGACGGTGTACTACTTTCAGATGTGCGACGCATAAGTGGGAAGGCATTGATATTGCTAGACATCGAGGACCGCGATGTGCGCGTGCTTATCATGCCCAAGCCAGGTGACAGGTCTGCCATAGTGTCGACAAAGATGAAGAACGTTGAACCGTTACTGACTCTTCCGGGATGCACGTTACGCTAGTCGTGACGGACGCACGTCTGTGGCATGCACGCTGCGAAGACCAGCTTCGGGATGGGTCAGTTTAACAACGACGGCAACCCGTTCGTTGTCGCTGGTCACAGTGGCAAGCGACGAACCGACCAACCTTCAATAAAATTATCGACTAGCATCGTCCCTTGATTTTAAACAAACTTGCCTTTTTAGGTGATCGTCTTCTCTCAGTACTATTAATTTTCCACAGGCGCTAGCTAGTAGCTACACGCTACTATATATCCTTCCACGTCCCACTGGCACTACGAATCATTTTCAACTCTGGCTTAGTCACAATTGATACAGCGCATCTTCAGGGTGCATAAATGACTGTCAATTATCAGCGCTAGCGTTATACCACTCGCTCGCTCGTTGGGCGTTGATGCAATTTGATCGTGCTTGCAAGATCTACCTCTGGAAATCGACTCCTTCAGACCATCCCGATCGAGTGCTTTCGTCTGACCCGGGTAAGCATCATGATGTCAACTAACAGTGGTTGGGCTGAGACCCAATGGCATCAGTTTGGTTCTATTCAAGCATGCGGCAGTTCGCGATGGCACTGTTGTTTGATCGCCAAGTTGAGCACCAGTCCGCCTGATCACACCTGCTAACTACCGAACTCCACCCATGGGGGCATAATGTGAGGCGAGACCATATTTTTGTCTATGAACGGTACTTGACGTAAACTCAGGCTTGGGTGGTCCAGACTCGGCCGAGCCCGGCCGAGCCATGACGGGCACCGCAGTGTAGTCAGGACTATATTGTCTCATTGTTTAGAGACTCATCACGTCTTCGTTTAAAATTTTGGGACTGACAATGTCTTTCACTCACCAGGCGATCAACAATGTATGCTTGAATGTCGTTTATGCATGGGATCTAATTCACGCCAGTCAGTGGTCGATCAGCCAGTCATTGATCGCATTTATATATGTTTGTACGGAATGATACGCAGTGCTCTGAGATGGCCGACTATAGAGTGTTAGTGGGAGAGCCTGTACATGCTAGTTGTGCCAGACAACAGTCTCAGGTACTGTGACAGCGTCCAATGCGAACCACCGCAACCCCCAAAAATCCCTGCATTGATTGGCTGACGATACAGAGGGTCATTGGCTGGAGCCATATATGAAAAATGCTGCCCACCTGGTCAAATAGGACTAGGTAGTCATTCCAAAATTTGTCCATTTCTACGTGTCCATTACACCCTCTCCTTAGTAGTCTGTCTTGATTGACAGACTGTGGTAAATCTGGACTCATGATAACTGAATTGAGGCGATGCTGGCGGAGAAAGTCCCTGAAGTTCATGTTGAATTCAAGATATCTATGGCACTAATAAAGGTAAACATTGGCTGCTAGTACGTGGTCATTGTTTGTAAAACTAAACCCGTAGGTCACCAAGCCATCGTTCAGAGAACGTAGCGGAATCCTTCTTCTTTCCCTTGCTCCTGCTCTTCTTTCTCCAGTTTCTTGTTCAATGTCTTCAGATGCTGTCTGAGAATCCAAGTCATCATAATCGCGGTAACGTTACCGGCAATCACAATGGTATAAGAGTATCGATAGGTAGGGCCCCAATTAACTGACCAGACGTACCTACAGTCTATTTCGTCAATGAATTTTAAATGGTCGATTGAACTACTCACGACCCTGCGATGTTGCCTAGTTGCTGAAGTGCATTGATAAGCGAAAAACATACTGCGCGCTTTGACGGCGGTCGCGCAAATGTGTTACTCTCCCACGTGGTCATCAAGACATGTGATGAATGGGACTGCGCCATGAGGAAGCTGTTGAGGGGGGCCACTATCAGTGAGACGTCTAAAATTAGATTATGTGCCTACAGAGCCAAGTATCGGGCTGCAGTGTTCATGGTACATATCGAAACAAGGGACCCAATTATGCCAATGAGGCTCGAAATGCTCATGTGCAAGGACCTTTCTTGTGTTTTATCAGAGTGTCTGAGGAGTTCTTCAGACCAGTCCCTAGATTGTTCGATATCCCAGCTTACCTGGCCCACACGAATGTGAAAATGGCAGCATATATCCAAGGAGGCGCAACGAGGAGCAGCGATGTCGTTGGGTTGTAGCCAAGTGTTGCAGTAAGAGTAGGGAAATAGGCAAGGGATGACAACGCTACAACCTGAGCAGTCGATAGTATTGCGATCCACCACACCTTCCAGTCGGAGATGGCGAGGTAAAAGCCGTAACTGAAGCCACCGTTCTCAGTTTCTAACTGGTCTCCGACACCGACATCCTCCTCCATACGCTTCAGTGCAAGCCGGCGCTCGTCATCAGTAAGCCACTTTGTTGTCATTGGAAAGTCCGGCAAAACAAAGACAGTCATTATCGCAATGGTGACAGTCAGACTTCCTTCGATATAGAAAAGCCACCTCATAAATGAAATTCAACAGAGTCCTTTGACAAATTAACTGGATTGAATTACCTCCACGCGGCTTGTGCACGGATGCCACCGTCCATGTTAGCAAGAATACCTGATGCAATGACAGCTCCGAAAGCGTTACTGATCATGTTTCCGCTGTAATGGTGCTGTCAATGAATATATATATATCCACCAGCATAGTAGCACCCTTACCAAAAGAGGATGGCTATTCTGAAACCTATCTCTGTGCTTTTGTACCTGTACATTGAATTTCAGGACTTCGGCTGAAAATATACTCCATGATTAACGAACCACTTCGAAATCAAGAACACGGCGCCGGGGAAAAAAGCTGCTTGCATGAAGCCAAGAAAGAATCGCGTTAGGAGCGCTCCAACGAAACTATTACGAGGAGTATGGTCGGTCATCTGTCAGACATCAATGATCGGTCATACTTTGTAGTAATTCCAGTCAGCGCCGATATGACTCCCCAAATTACCATACAAGCAGGCAGATAAAGCGACGGCTTTCCGATGTAATTGAGAAACATGTTGGAGGGAACCTGCATCATAACATATCCGACAAAGAAGATAGACAATAATGTCGCAAATTGTGGACCCTCGAGATGGAGGTCGGTGGTGAGCTGTGTGCGTGCCGCACTTAATCTGTTGTGAATGATGCATCAGCGATTCATGACAAGGGCATACCTAACATTGTTTCGATCGATCTAGTACAAGAATGAGATATAGATCAGGCGCCTTGATGCGAGGTGACTCACAAAATTGAGGATATACATGAGGACCAGCATTGACATGTGCAGGTCGAGTTTCAATAACAACTTGCGCTCTAGCTTGTTTCGTGCCTTTATGCCACCGAATTCTGCGTCGACATCGAGCTCTTTGCACTCAACATGCTCCTTCGAGGGCGAGATCGGTGCAGTGTCAAAAGGGTCAGGTGCCATAAATGGGGTGATGATAGTGGGGTCTGAGGGATGGCCTCAACGGTTAGGTGTGCCTTATATATCGTGACACGCAAGCCAATTTCATATCGATTAATCTGTTGGCACGAAAAAACTGGGCTGACGCGCCTTGGAGGTGCACGTAGAATATCGGACCCTCGTCATAAGTGATAGGGAGCCTTGACAAATAACAGCCGTGTCCCGCCTACACGGTCCGATTGGATTCTGTCTCGTAGAACCATAGTATACTCAACCAACCATTCCGTTTGATGAAGATGTTTTCAATGGAGTTAGAGATAGCTGGGAGTCTGAAAGTCGCCTACCTCACGCAGGGTTGCTGGAGCTGTTCAAGATTACTAAGTGTTCGTGCCTAATCCCGCAACTGATGATTGGACTAACCGTCAAACATATATATTGCAGTGCCATGGGGAATGCGATATTTGCTCGAAAAGCCTGGTTGCTTTTGGCTCGGTTAGGGTTTGCAGACGGAGAGCAAGCCCGTCCCGAGGTCGAACGCCTCTGAGTCCATTATTGTCATGATGATGCTGCCGTCTTGCTGGTGATTTATCAGAATTTCGACAACATCCGACATACGCCGAGTGAGCTGTTTGCCGTACCGCAAAATACGGCAGATACCTGCTGTACGTCCTTGCTCAACGTTCGACGCCTGTCATTGCCTCGTGTTACTGCCACAGATGGCCCATATGTCACTGCAGCCTGCGACAATGTTAAAATGTTTCTCGGTCAGATTAACACTGAACTCACCATTCTCAAAGCTGATTTCGAGAGGCGGTTGGCGGATGACTGGTACGTGCTATCATGGTTGCAAGTATTATCTGGGCCAGTCGCTTACACATATCTCCAGAGATTACCACAAATATCTAGGAACGGATCTGAAACATGAGAAGAGAGAATTTTGGTTGCAACTGGTGTACAAGCAGATCTTGGGAATCGATGAGATGTTTGCAGTAAGCTATACGGCCTGGTGACCGAACAGTGGCTTCTCGGGAGCGGTAACAGGTCATCACACACTCATTTCATTGTACTGTACTTAGTGTGCATGCCTCGTCCTCTATCGGCGACAGAAATAGATCAGCCAATAGAAAATGAGAACATTTGCCTTCAGAAGCAGATGAAATAAAGGAATCAAGCACATCATACTACTCACAAAACGACAGCAATTAAGGTCCTACACCCCACACCTCCAGTCCTACACACTCAAAGCTCACATCCTTCTTAACGCCGACGCTCCCAACATCCACACGAGAACACAGAACAGGGTTGTCAAATGTAGGACATGGTGCGGAAGATCCGTCAAGGAGGGAGGCATCAAGGTAAAGACCGTAGTGTCCGTCTCTGCGCATCAAAACAAGTTGGTCATTGGGATGTGGAAACTGAACAAGGTCACAGGGAAAGGATACTCACCCGCCACCAAAAGATATGAACCCGGGCTCACAGAGCGCAACGTAATCATTCCTCCCCGTCCATTTGTACACATCAAGTGTCCCTTCTTCTAGCCCGTCCTCTTTGTTTGAAGGACGTTGGTATCTCCAAAGGAAGCTGACCGGTGAAAATGAGCTCCGACAACCCAGAGGACAAGGCGAGGGAACTCACGACTCGCCACTCCCATAGTACCCTCCTCTTTCCAACCATAACCCATCCCCCATCCACACGCCGAAAATCGCATCTCTTGCATCTTTGATCACAACTAGAGCTCCTTTCGTTGCACCTGGCGTCGAGGGCAACTTGGGTTCACATCTGGAATACAGCGTATTCAACGAGATACCGTGTTGGTCGAGCGAGTACAATAGAGTCCATGTCCGTGGAAGACGAGTGAGTGCTGGAAGGTGGGGACGAATCTGGAAGAGTGTATGAGTGAGTACTAGCTGCATGCACTAGACAAGGATTACGGACGAGATTTGCGATGGGTTCGCTCAGCACTACTGATGTGCCCTCTCTCCTTCCAACAAGATTGAGGGCATGGATCTTCTTCCCTTTTCCTAGCACGCCCTTTACTTCACTCATTTCCTCATCGTGGAGTGCGTCTGAGAAGCCCTTGTCCCAGATCCGATCGCCTGCGAAACCAGGGGCACCGGATGGTGGAATGTAAGGGTGAGTGGCAAAAGGGGTGCCACGCGTGATGCCAGACGTCTGATGCGCCACATGCATGTGCGTTGGCTGAGGTAGGTTACTGTTACTAGGTGCTGGATGTACCAAACTTGATGTAGAAGATCCTGTGGATTGTCTAGATCGAGCAGATGGCAGGAACGCCGAGACCCAGGTGGAGGAAAGGCGGGATAACGTAGCATGTGCTGGAGGCGTGGCTGGGGAAGAGGGAAACGACGAGGTTGATGCAGAAGGAACGCCTGCTGATGGAGGCGAGGCTACTCCACTGAGACGGGGAGGAAGAGGTTCGCGTATATTCACGGGGGGCTGAGAGCTTACGCTCGTAGTGAGCACAGGCAACTTGTGTGGGGGAGGAGAAGGCGGCTTGACATCTGCGTCAATCAAGTTCACAGTTGGTGGTATCGGAGACGGTGATTGCGTAACGATACCATTTTGAGCCGACGTTGGTTGAGTTTCGAATAGGGGAGATAATGGAGGTTGAATGTACTCCCGAAGAAAATACAAAGGATCATCTTCATGCTCCAGCAGCTCATCAAGGACAACCCGTCTATTCTGCTCAGAAGCCGTTTTTGCGCTGGAGGTGAACTGATCAAAGTAATGTAAGCTTGCGTTCCCAGCTATGGCAGGTCTCTGAGACTTCAGGGCGACAGGCTCCAGCACCGGAAAGTCAAATGAAAGCGGGTCTTGAGCAGCAGGCACCGATACAAAGGCACCGAATTCGGAGTCTATACTTGCTGTGCGATTTCTGTGCTGCTGCGGGCGACTTGTTGGAGGCTGATCGCGAAAGATAGGTGTTGGAGTTCCTGGGGGCGTTGCGGGGGAGAACAAAGTTGCGAAACGGTCGATCTCAGCTGCGTCGAGTGGGTTGATGCGTGAATAGATTGGTTGGGGTTGTGCAATTGGCCTCTGGAGGGGCCGCCGTGTATGATCATGAGAGGGTAGGGGAATCAGCGGTTGGGTGGTCATCGTCATTTCGTTATATGATAGTGTTCTAAGAATCGTTTTGTCTCAGCATTCACATTCAACGAGAACAGACATACGCGCAAGTTTATAACATGAGGTGCGAGTTAGCTATGGCCTTTGAGGCTGCAAGAAAACCTGATGGACACGATGCAGTTAGTGAAAGTTGATGTTATAGGAAGCGAGATAGCCGGTTCGTGGATGCTCTTCTAAGGCTGATGACCATTGAATGTATGAAAGCTGCAGTACACTGACCTGCTCAGTAAATATGACAAGACTGAGCGCTGAGCTCTGTACATGCACATTTCATGAGTGGCGTTGCGCTGGATGAATGAGGCCCTTTGCGCACTCACAGAAGTACAAGTGAAATGCGTGTATGCTGAGCGCTGAGATTGTAATATTCTTAAGTCTCTTTACTCCTCGTGAAGCACAGGTGATACTCACAAAGACTTTCGAAGAGAATGAAAAGCAAGGACTAGCTAGGCGGCCCGTCGAAGTCACGATTGAGTAATAAGATTCTGTTGAATACGTCACAGCCACCGCTTGGCCACGGGCCCACGGCCATCATGTTTACCAGCCCGCACCAACCACGGCACGCATTAGTACGGCTTTGCAGACTACAAACATCCCAATAGTAATGTGAGTAATGACTGTCTTCAAATATTGGTCTATGTACTACTTGTAGAAGACCTAGCTGAAACGCTGCCCCAGAATTACACCTCAAATTGAAGAACCCAAGGTATGTACGAGCTTGGATCGGAGTCCACAGGTCTATTGACAGGTCCAAGAGTCTACAGCAACCATCGTGCAAGCTCCGTTGACTCAAGGTGAGTGGTACTAACCTCGAGGATTCAGGGTGACTTTCTTGGCGAGGACATTGGTATCATAGGCACAGGCAGTGTCCCCTTGCTGGGTCTCTGTCTTCCCATGTTCTGCTTGCACAAGCGCCGACGAAAGATCCGCACGAAAGACTCCATCTCGCTTCCTATTCCAAACAACCATACCCCAGAACTCCCACCAGAAAACGACGCACCCCTCTGCTCAACGTGCTCCTCCCTCGACCTCCATGCAATCCTACATGATGGCGTCCCAAAAGAACACGCAATCCCCATTGGTCACCTCACAGACATCCTTAACAAGTCCGACCAATGCGGGTTGTGCAACCTCATAGCTATCGTCATCCGTCGCGCGTGGAACTTGGATAAGTTGCCTGATATCGACATTTCTGATATTACCTGTGCGCTGTATGCGATGGAGTGCGGGTATCCAAACATTCCGGATTATATCTCTCCTGTACTCAGGGATATCTGTCATCGGCTGCATATTCAGACTTTTGACAGACCTCGGGATGTTACAGCTGCTATGGTCGCTGCGCAGTCAAACCTCTTGCTGGATATTCAGCTCCTGGGAGAAGATGCTTCCAAAGTCGGGAGGACGAAAGAACTTCATGGCAGGAGGGTTGGTCAGAATGTTGATATCGCCCTGTTGAAGAGATGGATCCACATCTGTGAACACGAGCATGGGAAGCTATGTGAAACGGTATGGTGGAGGGGCACTGGAGATATTCTTCCGAAGAGCATGAGAGTCGTGGATGTAACTCGAATGGCCGTGGTTCGCGCTCCGCCATCCTGCCGTTTCGTCGCTCTTAGCTACCTCTGGGGAGGTACAGGAGAAGAGTACTGGACGACGCGGGCAAATATCAAGCAGCGCAGAGCACAAGGCGGCCTTGATGTATCAGTGCTACCATCCACAATCTTAGACACCATTCAACTCGTCCGTCAGCTGGGCGAGCAATACCTTTGGATTGACGCGTTGTGTATCGTGCAAGATGACCCTAAGGACAAAGCAGTGCAAATCGGTGTGATGGAGCTTATCTACGGCACCTCCGCGTTCACGATCTTCGCTGCTGGCGGCACCTCCGCGCATGATCCTCTCCCAGGCATCCGCCCAGGGACCAGGGATCCCAAACAACAAATAACTAAAATACAAGGCCTTCACCTCGCCGTCCCCCTCATTCTCCCCCGTGAGGCCATAGCAAGTTCTGCATGGGACACACGTGGTTGGACATATCAAGAACTCATGCTCTCGCGCCGCCGCATCTTCTTGACCCCCCATCACGTGCACTTTGAATGCGGAGAGGATATATGGAGCGAAGATGTGATTGCAGAGCGTATCAACCTCCCCTGGGCATCACACCCCCTGAAGTACGGCGGTGCAGGTGGATTCACGTCCGTGCGTGCTCCACCGGAGTGGAATAACTCTACATATATGGGGCACTACATGAGCATCATCGGAAAGTATACGCAACGCAGGCTTACTATGGAGTCAGACATCGTGAACGCTGTTACGGCGCTCATCAATGCTATGGCCAAGGGATTCAAGCTCGCTGGTGGTAGCCCTGGTCAAGCATTCCGTTTTGGGATGCCCATCGTCGACCTAGAACTTGCGTTAGTGTGGCAGCCAACGCCCAGTACATCATGTGTGCGGCGCGCGACTGGGGATAGAAATATGACGTTGTGGCCATCCTGGTCATGGGCTGCGTGGCGGGGTGCTGTCCAGTATAGCGAAGTGAACTTGTTCGTTGATGCACAGAATGGAGGCGTTTCTCCGTGGATAACCCAGTCACTGGTGGAACAGTGGCATATGGTGGATGATGATGGTCGGCTTGTTCCCCAGGATGTTAGACGTACTGGTCGGATGGCAAGATCTGTTGAAGAAGCAAACTCCAGTCCATACGTCATTCCGAAAGGCGATATCGACGCACAAACTCTAATTACAGAGAATGCGCCCCTGCAACCTGGGACGTTAGTATTCATAACTCGCTCGGCTCATTTCAACGTTACGACAGCGGACGATGTCGTCGGTGCTGATCCCAAGGCTAACTATGCCACATATTCTATACTATATGACGTCCCTCGACCATCAACATTAGTAGGGCGCGTCATCCTTCCGCGTTCCACCCATTCACCGACTTCATGCGAATTTATTGTTCTGTCTCGCACAGATGAAACCAAAGGGTTGTACGATGAGGACACACTAGGGAAACAATATCTCGGATGCATGTTGTATGTGATGGCGGTGCAGAAGATGCAGGATGGAAAACGCATGGAGCGAGTTGGGGTTGGGGTTATATTTGAACATGCTTGGCCGAACTCGACAGGGGAGCAGAAGGTTGTTCTGTTGGGATAACCGGTGAGGTTGTTTGAATAGATCAAACTGGATGGATGGGACGGGTCCCAGCTGTGGCATCGTTAATTTAGAAAATACTGAGTATTCTTGAAGCCTCAGAAAATCTGGTTTTCTGTACTTGGAAGAACGCGCAGGACGAGCCTGAGACACTGGGCAAATACCGAAAACATTAATCAAATTCCTCATTTGTGCCATCGATGTCTTCTCATATTGCAACATGTCATGTTCTCGCAAACGTCCCTAATTATATAATTAATACTCTCGGTCATAATCTGGCACTATCAGCTCAATCATCCTAAGGGGTTATTTATATGGTCAAAACAGAAATAGGTTACAAAGTTCAAAACTTTTTTCTCTTCTTGGGCTGGTACATATGTTAGAGGGATTCCCAAGGATCAATATGAGCCCGGAATGACAGAAAACGGCGGTTGGGATGTGGAGATAAAGTTGAAATACTGACTTTTTTATACCTGTGACCAAACTCAATATTCTCGACCTCCAGAGACCCTGGGACCATCACCAATCAATTTCTACGTCTTAAAAGCACTAGGATCATTATTTACAGTATCGGTTTTGAGCTAAAAGTGACCATAGTAAGATATATGGGGTAGGAGTGGGGAGGAGGACCTTCTATATCTCAACAACCTGATTTTTCCTGACAAAACGGGCTCGACCATCGTGTTCAGGGACATCAAGAGCACTCCGGAAAAATACTTTTAGAGGACAAGCAAGTCATGGGAAGCCTAGAAAAATCGATCTTTGAGGGGGGTATCAGGAAAACTTACATATTTTAATCAGGATGGCCTCAAATCACTCTGGGACCATTTCCAATCGATTTATATGATCGGAAAACAGTAGGAACATTCTTTTATATACCGGTATTTACATAATATCAAGATATATGAGTTTGGGGGGGGGAGGGGGACCCTGCATATCTCAACAGCCTGATTTTTCCTGACCAAACTTATATGGTCAAAACAGAAATAGGTTTCAACTTTCAAAACTTTTTTCTCTTCTCGGGCTGGTACATATGTTAGAAGGATCTCCAAGGATTAATATGAGCTCGGAATGAAAGAAAACGGCGGTTGGGATCTGGAGATAATGTCGAAATACTGAATTTTCCACCCCTCCAACAAACATCAACAATGTCGACCTCTAGAGAGTCTGGGACCATCTTCAATCGATTTCTACACCTTAAAAACACTGGGACCACCATTTTCAGTATCAGCTTTGGGCAAAACCTGAGTGTAGTCAGATATATGGAGTAGGAGGGGGGAGGAGGACCTTCTGTATCTCAAGAACCTGATTTTTCCTGACAAATCGGGCTCTACCATCTTGTTCAGGGACATTAAGAGTACTCCGGAAAAATACTTCTAGAGTACAAGCAAGTCATGGGAAGCCTAGAAAAATCGATCTTTGAGGGGGATACCATAAAAACTCGCATATGTTGATCAGGATGGGCTCAAACCACTCTGGGACCATTTCCAATCGATTTATATGAATGGAAAACAGTAGGAACATTCTTTTATATACCGGTATTTACATAATATCAATATATATGAGTTTGGGGGGGAGGGGGACCTTGCATATCTCAACAGCCTGATTTTTCCTGACAAAACTAGCTTTACCATCGTCTTCAGACGCATCAATAACCCCCAGGAAACATACTTTTGCAGTCCTGGCAAGACATGGGAAGCCTAGAAAAATCGATCTTTGAGGGGGGGTATCAGGCAAACTCGCACATCACATTCCATATTGGTTCAGAACACTATGAAACCATCTCCAATCTATTAATATGACTCTTAAACACTGGGAACATCCTTTTCACATCGTTATTGACATGAAATCATGCCTCTTGGTGAAGTAGGTGGGGGGAGGGGGTAGCATGACTCTCAAACCTGATTTTTTTGGATCAAATAAGCACTGCCATCTCATTCAGATTGGTCAATAACCTCTATATCATGTTCAACATGAAGCCAGACAAGTCGCATGAAGGCTGAAAAAATCAATCATTGAGTGAGGCAGCATGACAGGGGCGACACAGCTTACATAAGCAAAAGCGGTCGACTTGGACACACTTACACCAAGACTCTGCAAGATTAAGCATTTCTGTTGCTGCTCAATATATATGGATCAATTCCCTTCATAATGAGCCTAAGATCAAGCCATGCGAGTCATATAAAGGCTGAAGCAATAGACCTTGTGTTGAGGGCCTCAGCATTACAGACACTCATAACTTTGGAATGTGATTTTTTTGAATGAAAAAGGTGTTACCATCGTATTCAGAGGGCTCAATACCCTCAATTGAAATGTCTATTTGAAGCCAAGCAAGTCATATGAAGGTTGAACAAATCAATCATTGGTCAAGGTAGGTCTGCTTACATAAGCAGGAAAAATGCGGAGGCAGCACAATGAGGTAGTTATTTTTCATGGACAAACTCATGTTTCCAGTGCATTAAGCAGGTTCTATAATATTAAAAACAAGTTCTGCTTCAAGTCTGATCAATCACATGAACACAAAAAATGAAACTGGAACAGAGGCAGCCAGTCAACTGAATTGAACTGACCAACATGACTTTTTTTTGACAAACAAAGTGTTCCTATCGCATCAATAGGGCTCAATAGCACTCGGAGCAAGTTCCTAATAACACAAAATAAGGTTTAAAAGACCGACATTTACAAGCAAAATAGTGTCTTCACTGCATGTGGTGTCTATAAATGTCGCCATATATGGGTCCCACCCATCCCAACCTTGTATCTCCCTCCATCTGATGAGACAGGCAGGAAGCTCTGGACTCTATCAAAGTTCTCTTGCCCAATTTGCCATTGATTTGGCTGTCATGGAGGATGGTAGGAGATGAAACCAGCTCCAGCAGGTGTTGGAATACTTGATTAATGCGAGGCGTGATGCAGATGCGAGCTGGTGTTTTCTCCTGCCATCTTCCATGCCAGACATGGCCAACTCAGTGGCAAATTGGTTGGCCTGTCTTGCCGCCTTGAATACATATTTGACAATAGACAGACATCAAAACCACCGTGAAGGTAAGTACTACACTTTAGATTAATACCTTGAGCCTTGATGTCATCGAGTAGAATGACAAGTTCCTCTCTCCATTCAGCCTTGGAAAGGAAAAACACATCTGCATTGATATGGGAAAAACAGAAATAGGGTTGACATATTGGTAGCTGAAATCATGGCAGGACAACACTCAAGAGTTTGCTATGTGGCAATGGAAAACAGGTTAACTCATTGGGAAGAACTAGGTTCAAATCCTCATCCTACCATGATTTCTGTGTTCAAATTGGTTCATCTTGACTCACCAGTATTAGTTCACCTGTGTCCATTTCCACACGACAAGCTCTGAAGTTTTTTGTCTTTGGTGATAAATAATACAGCAAGGAACTCACTACATGTTTGGATGAGAGGTGAGGAAGGTGAAGGTGGTGATTTCACGACTGGAGCATGTCTAGAATATATATCAGAAACAGGTAACACAGACTCTGCTTCATCTTGAATCACCAGGATGAGTTTGTCTGTTTCCAGTTCCATACAGCAAGCTGTGAAGTGTTGTCTTCAATTATAAACAAGACAGCGAGTAACTCGCTACATGCTTGGATGTATTTGGGTTACTTGTCGCAAGTCAATCACACAGTCTGCAAAGAACCACGGTATCTCCCTCCATCTGGTCAGAGAGGCAGGAAGCTCTAGACTCTATGACAGTTTTCTTGCACAATTTGCCATTGGTTTGGCTGTGTCTGGCATAGAGGATGGTAGGACACTAAGCAAGCTCACAGCCATGTCAGTTCTTCATCGACCATGTTTGTTTATATTTTAGTGTAACTGAGGTCACCTCTGCATTCTAACCTTCTGAATCCTGGAGAATGGCTTAATGGATTTTGAACCATTCTTTTTTTGAGTTACTTAATTGATTGGCTTGGAAAAAGTCGTGAATGAGAATAGGGAGCTACAAACATACAGTGCACAAACAATTTCAACCCAAACATCATCAGAAAAATTTGTTGAGGTATATTAATATGGTCAAAACAGAATCCCACATCACCTTCTGGACCTGGCTGAGGACAATAATGAATTACCCTAGCCTAATCACGGTATTTTCATACTGTCGCAGTCAAGTGCACATGTTCATGGTTATCCATCTTGTTTACAGCTGTGCATCTAGCATACTGGGAGACCCAGAGAAGGATACTTATCTGCATTTTATGGGCTATACTTGTGCATCTATATAATAGAATATCATGTACACATGCTAATCCACATCCATTTCATCATCTGTCACCACATGTGCTGATTCACTCATTGGGAATGGCCTGGACTTGCGAGGACGTGGGGGTGGGGGTACCCTTTTGTTTCTCTTTTCCATAGTCATCTTTTTGTGAATCTCCCGACGCTTTTGCCTCTCTGTCTTCCTTCTCAAATTCCCATCGGCGTCGAATGGTTGTGAGTCCATGAGATCAGCCGCAAATATGCGCTTTCCCTTGATCACCTTCATAGTCCGACGCGCTCTTGGAGCTCTCCTCTGACTCTCGCCCCCCCTTCCAATGCGGTCGATCCTATAAAATGCAGGATTTGTTACGAATACTATGGCATCCTTCTTTTGGATCCACACCCTCACACCACTCGAAGGTAGACAGTGAAGTTCCGAAAATATGTCCCGTAAACCTTGCTTTAGCGATTCCTGCTGATCCCCATCCAATGTCTTCATCGTCCTATGGAATTCTGCGATGTATCCATCTCTTTCCCACAGTCCACACCACTGAGCATTGCGCTTATGGGGAGCGTCAGGGTCAGGAAAGAATAACGAGCATCTGTGCACAAAGGCTCTTGACTGGGGACCCAAGCGACCTGGAGTTACGCCTGTATGGTCATGCAAACCAGCATTGCAGGCTTCAAAAGCGACAGAAGCAAGTGTATCGTCGATGCTTGTTATCGTCCAGCACTTCATGGCATCATAAAGTGAGTTAGGGTAGGGTCTGGTGCCTTTAATGACTTCTTCCATCAGCATGAGCCACAGATGCCTTGTGAACATTACGACCAAACGTCCAACAGTGAGTTGAATGTTGGACATCCTGGATGTCCATGACCAGTCTCTCATGATTGTCGCTGGAGAGTGTGAGATGGCTGTCTTGAGGCTGGTCCAGGTTGGTGTCCGACCAAGAGGATATTCTTCTGATTCTGACTCATTGCGTCGCCATGCATCCATCCTTGCCACTGCTCTATCCCTTTGCGCCTTTGCAGTTACTCCCATAAGTCCCAAAACATTAACATCATCGATTTGCTGCACCTCCTCTAGGCACGTGTCGCTGTTTATATCGAAGTCCTGCAAGAAAAACATCCCTGCTGTCTCGAGCACATTCCTGTATTCAAGGAGGGTGAGGGATTCGCGGACATGGGAGTCATAGATGATAGGGGTTGATGTAGTCGAGCGAAGCATGTGGTTTAGCAGACCAGTCAGGATGCCAAGATTGGGAGGGTTCTTTTTTACGATGGTTATTTGGGTCCTTTGAATCTCCCGTACACGTCGCCTGATGAGCTCGAACCAGATTGTGGATGGAATCCACAGTATTGGATCTGATTGCAGATATTGAACAGCCTGCATTAACAGCATTCAGGGTAATTGAGCTTGCATGAAAATCATGAATGAATGGAGCATGAACGACCGACCTTGCTTTCTATATCGTCCAACATGATCCTGGCTGCGTGGCCGCTGACCCTATACTCATCTCTAACACCATATGTCTTCCCCTTGCAGCAATCGACAACCTTCATGATGTCAAAGCATTCAGCCATGTATGAAGGAGATAGCTTGTATGCATCGCTGTCGGAAGCAAAGTTCGCCTGGTTGTTGTTTGTGCGGATGGACTCGTAGTATAGATTGTAGGTGCTCCTGAATGCTATGTGAGTCTGCTGTGATCTTTCCTGTTGCATTTCTGCCTGCAGTGCGCCATATCTGGACAGCATGTTGTGGTGATGTATATCGCCTCGCTTGTAGCCTCCTGCACCAAACGATGCCTCCAACGCATCTAATCTCCACACCCCGACGACAGGAACATCTGGAGAGCGAGGCGTGAATGAGATGCCTACATCCAGAAGAAGCTCCCCGTGCCTCCGGTCCATCATATATGGCCAGTCGAGGTCGGACAGATTTCGACGCAGGGCCTCCTCTGGTCCTGAGAAACGGCCTCTCTGTCCGTCCTTTGTCAGGAGCTTTATTCCTTTTCCCTCCAGAATAAAGAACAACGATCCATACATACTCAGCTCTCCCCCTCCATCACGTATGCGAGCTTCCATGCGGTCCTGCACATCTCTAAAGTCATCATCAGAGAGTGGTATTGTCTTTGGAGGACCCCATCCGCCTTTGCGTCCATCTCTACCTCTCGCCTTATATCTTGCCTCCTCCAAAGTGTGCTTGAGGTAAGGCGCCCAGCTGACGTCGGTGCAGTCTCCTATGGATGGCAGCAGCACTCTATCCCAAAAGATATCCAAGACCTCCTTTGGCATCAGGGTGATTCTACGACCATTCACCGGGTGTTGATGAATCATTCTTGGGAAGGCAACGTAAAGATTGAGCGTCGAGGAAGCGGAGGATATGCGCCCAATAGAGGCATGAGGGATGGCAGACATGGGAAATCTTTTGGACAGCCATTCTGTTCTTCCACCAGGACTATTGGCGTCCCCTTCCGACTGCGGTATCATAATGTCGACATATGTGTGATTGTGCTTGAATATGCCAGGCTTTGTTTGAAATGGCGGAGTGATGTAGATCCCCACAGAACCCTTGCATCGGAACATTTTTGTCGTCCAAATGATACTGTCTATGTCCACCGAGGTCTCTATCTCATCCTCTGAAAATGTGATTGAATCTCTTTCCAGGTCGACGTATAATGCAGCACCATCACCGTATCGATGACTGGTGTGGCCACGGACAAAAGCATTGTGTCCGAACCTACATTCTTCATGCAGAGGGGGGTCGTATTGCGCGGAATCAATGAGTTCCGAAGCAGAGAGTATTTCCACATCTGTAATATGCACGTGCCGTGCTTCTGGAGATGGTCTGAGGCGTGCAAGGCTGTATGCACCCGTCACTCGATCTGGAATCTGATTTGAAGCATCATATGAGCTGGTCGTTCCAATAGGCATGATGTGGTCCATGGTGGCCGTGGGGTCGCATTGATAGAATATATGGAATGAGCTAGGCGTGATGCGATATCCATGGTCGACCCAATACACCCAGGCAGTAGAAAGTTGGATTTCCCCAGCACACAATGTCATAGTGTTATTTACGTCCCTGGGTCTTATCAACATCTCGATTGTAGGCCCACCTTCATAATCGTCGAATGCGAGGTCGTCCTTGAGCCACCTCCTACCTGAATATGCACCAAGGGGAAGTGGTGGAATTGGACGTGGAAATCGTTTGTTGCTTCCTAGATTCAAGTTTTTCACTCGCCTCCGAGATGCTAAGGCAGATTTAGAGCGTTGCGAGTCGCCTGCATCATGCATGTCAGGTAGTATCTCTGGTTCCAATTCGAGGTGTGTTCCAACAGAGCGAGGGACTATTGAATTGCGGTTCCGGGATCCTGCTAGTTGTTTGTTTGCTTTCAACAACTTTGCAAGATGCACCTTCCTGCCTGCAGGAAGCGAAATGCCGAGTGTATCCTCGCCTTCACTCCATTCAGCATCTACAACATCCTGATCGACTTGGTTCATATCTCCGTTATCCTCGTTTTGGAAGGGGCTTTCATCATCCTGATGTAGAATGGGACGTTGACACATCGAGCAAGTGGCGCTCAAGATAGTCAATTTACGCATGAGCTTGAGGCACTCAGCCTGGTGCCGCCCATTTTGAATCGCAGAAATAACATCTTCATCTGGCACATCATCCTCTCTCCAATAATCTTGTGGACCGTCCAGGAGAATCAGATAGTCGCTGCAGCTGAGTTTGATGCGCCCGGCGATCTTATGCAACATTGTGATTCGCAGTATGTGGCCGCATTGGACTTCAAACCCTGGCAGGTTGCCATGCTCATCTAATCCTGAGGTGAGGCATTGTTCAAGCACGGAGCAAGCGATAGGACCACAGTCCACGCCATTTTGCATCCAGTCCTTGCTTATCACGGACACATCGCTGACATCCCCTGTACTCCAGCCATGAAGCGATCCAATTCTCCTCCAGTATTGTGGCCCACTCCAATCATTCCAGTCGTGTAAATCCACTCCATCGATGTCCATTACCGAGTCGGAAATACGGCGACCCAAGACATGCGCTGTGCGTCGACGATAGTCGAAAATGACTGCAAAGAAGTGATCGGAATGATGGACTATCAATCCGACAGGGACCACAGGACATATGCCTCCCTGAGGCAAGAAATGATTCCTCCTGAAGAGCTCCAGTTCTTCATCCACCATCTCATCCACCATGGCTGCATAAAAGTCCACGTATCTCATGGAAGACCTGCCCAGCATCTCATACCACACATTGGACAAATAAAAGTTTGCTACTGTCGCATCAATCCATTCATTTGGTGCGAGTGTTTTCCAGTTATGCCATGCAGACGTCCAGACAATTGGTCGGGCCATTGCACGAGCTGTGATTGAGTTAGATTGGTGTATACATTTACCCACACATCAACGCGAACTCACATGCTATTTCCTCATCCGTCGATGCAACCATTATGGTCTTTTGTCCATTGATTGATGGTGATCGTAGCTCAGCTTGCTGTGATGGCGGTGGTCTATATTCATCATCAGGTGTTGCTCTCTTGGGTGATGTCTCAGATGGTGCTCGACTCCCTGATAAAATCAATTAGTAAATATTTAATACTCTAACACATCCAACAAAACATCACAGCTAAAACTTACATTGATTTTCCTCGTTGTTCTCATCATCATCCTCATCGTGCGCTTCAGCAACACTTGATATCACTTTGTCCATCTGATTTATCTTAGATGCTGACATTTAAATTTGTTATATGATGTTTGATAAAGAGTGTTGGATCACAAACCAATGACTTGTGGACACTTGATGCGCCTGTCAGATAAAATTCTGACTACACTTGCTGGAGATTCTTGCTGACAAGGGTTACTTGTGGCACGTATTATGGGTCTAACCGTATCAGTATTCATGACCATTTGTGTCTTGTGTTTTTTTCCTGTAATGAAGTGTCATTTCAGTCGAAAAAATCACGGTTAAGACCAGGTACTGACGCCGTGTGATCACTTTCTTGACTGGCCGTCCGCGTGGTCGAGGTGGCTTATTCCTTCTATTATAACCTTCCTGATCATCTGCTTTGCTGCCCTTCATCACTGTTGACTGTTCCTCTACATGATTGACTATTTGTGGCATGCCATTGTATGCTGTGGCCTTTGCCGTCCACGACACCTGAGGATTCCAATCCATGATTCCAGAGTCGATTATTTGCTGTAGTATATCCATTTTTGTATCATTCTCTTGAACGCTATTCTGCTAAAATGTATTACACATGTTAATCATTGTTTAATCAATTGGAAGATAACGTACAACATTCACTTGTGATGGCGAATGATTAGGTGGTACTGGACTAGTGGTAGCATGAATGATATATGTTCTACCCGCATTCTCGATGTTCTGAGTTGATGAGTCCCTCACAATGGGTGCAACTGGTGGCTTATTTTTGCTACCTGCAAGCAAACATTATCTTCATATAAATAGAGGTCATGCACATGTACGCACGACGCTGTATTACTCGTTTTCTTGGCCTTCCCCGTCCCCTCTTACTTGTTGCGATCTGCGGACCTTCTTCATGCACAATGCTGCAGTTACGTATGGCTGCCAATAGTCCTCCATCATCATCATCACTATTCCATCCGTCATCGAATGTATTTTTGTCTTTCCATCCAGGAATCTCCATGATATTCGAACTCCGTGGGTGCCAATCAAGGATCTTGGACTTCAGGATTTCCTGCATAATGTCAATAGAATCGTCTTGCTCCATCAGACTGTAAGCGCTCGCTGTACTGAAGTCCTAGTATTGTCCTGTTAACGTGATATATGCCATTAACTCATTGTACCTGTCTCAGGCTATATATTTTTCGATTTGTTCCCTTCTTCGGCTCCCTGTAACTCGGACCTTAAGATTACATTCCACTAGATCCATATGAATACATTACATTACATATTAGTGTCACATGATTTTGATGGCATTGTATCTACCTTATTTCCCGATCCGCCCGGATCTTATGATTATTTGCATGGAATGGACCATTTATCCGACTCAAGGCGACTCTGGTCTTCCGTTGCTTTACCTATCATTTTTCATTGCAAACCTATCATTTCGACCTCCATGTCTATCCGACCATCAGTCATAAGTCATTCATCTCATGCAGAAGGCAGGAGAACGTTGCCTCCTATGCGAAACAGTCACCCTAAACTACATACACTCAGGCGATGCACGTCATTGGAATGTATGTCAGCCTAGTAACTGTTTTTACCTGCTCACTAACAAATACATTGGATCAATGTTTCAATTACAGGGGTCTATGATGCCGGTGATGACTCAAATAGCTCTGTGGAGTATTGTAAATTGGTGATTAGGGAAGGAGATGAGTATGACGACCTCCGTATCTTCCCCTTCAAATACTGACATGCATACTCAAGTGTCACAATCTTTCCACTCGATGAACGGTCGGTACCAACGAAGGATGGAAGTCTCCCTAAATATATGTCACGAGTAGTATGGGGCTTACTACCGCGCGACGTCGCGTTGACATCAGTCGCGCAGTCGCGTCAGTATCAGTAGGAACTAAGCCTATGTCGCGTCAGTATTGTCGCGCTGTCGCGTCAGTGTCTGTAGGAACTAAGCCTATGTCGCGTCAGTGTCTGTGGTAACTAAGCCTACGTCGCGTCAGTATTGTCGCGCTGTCGCGTCAGTGTCTGTGGTAACTAAGCCTACGTCGCGTCAGTATTGTCGCGCTGTCGCGTCAGTGTCTGTGGTAACCAAGCCTACGTCGCGTCAGACACAACAGTGGCAACAGTCGCACAGTGTTCGATCCGAAAGTCATGACACCCCTCCTAGCTAAATGGAGGGTCGCGACCCATCAAGGGGAACCATCCATGACGAAGGAACATGATCAAAAGTCACTATCGGGGAGATAATAGCGTACGCGCACGCTAACAGTATTTTCCATGAAAAAAACAAAGAAGCGGTCCGAGTCGAGGATAGTCCATCTACAGGAAACGAGATTTTTAGTTCCAAGTCATCTACGAACAGCATGCGCGCATGCTAATGCGATTATTGATGAAAAATGATGAGCGATGCCAGGATGAAAAAACAGCAATAATCAAGGAAAGTCGAGCGATGAGAAAACAAAATTCCATCCTCCACCGATGCATCACCACGCACCTAGTATTGGATTCCAGTCCTTCCGATGAACGCAAACTTCTTTGGCTGAAGCTCACTATCACCGAGTCTCTGTGCGCATATGATTTCGTAGGACCTATGAATATCATCTGGTAATAGGCGAGTAGTTTCAGATGGATGATGAAAGTCTAGGGATAAAATGACCAGAAATCGCAAAAATACAGGAAAATGAAGTCGAGTCAAAAGGAGACTCTGTCCTCGCCCGACGAATCACCCCAGACGAGCGCCACTATAAGGAATACAACCGAAGCGAATAACATGAAACCATACGCCCAGACTACGACCATCTATGAAAAATCAACACGATCCAATAGACTACAGCGGTCCATACCAGAAGACATCAGACTACGATCAAGCAAAACAGCAAAAAGGCAAAAACTAAAGCAAAGACTACAGGACAGAAAAACACCGCCCCCCCGGTTAGAACCGTCTCGGCTTTGTTAGAACCGTCTCGGTTTAGTTAGCCAGCTTCGGTCAGCAGGAACGTATTGTCTCGGTGTCTCGTTTCTTGGCATCACCAGGAGGGAGACTACGAAATCAGTCAAAGCCACGGCAGAGCAAGACCACAGCCAGAATATTCGAGGGAAGTCAAGGGATCAAATCACAAAAAATAAGAAAAATCAATCAAAATGAAGTCAAGTCGAAACGAGGTTCTGTCCTCGCCCGACGCAACACCACAAGGGAGACTACGAAATCAAGGAAAGTCAAGGGATAGATCACAAAAAATCACGTAGATAGAGCAAAATGAAGTGGAGTCAAAACGAGACTCTGTCCTCGCCCGACGCAACACCACGAAGGGAGACTACGAAATCAAGGAAAGTCAAGCGATAAAATCATCAGAAATAGCAAAAATAAAGCAAAGCGAAGTCGAGTCAAAACGAGACTCTGTCCTCGCCCGACGCATCACCCCAGACGAGCGCCACCACAAGCAAAGACTACGAAATAAGAGACAGCGAAGATCAAGCAAAATGAAGTCAAGATTCTGTCCGAGGGGAACGCCCAGACCACGACCGTCAAGGAAAAATCAACACGATCCGATAGACTACGAACGAGATCATCTCTCATCAAAGGTCATGACAAGAGAATCATCATACGCATGCGCTAATGTCAAAAAAACAGGAATTTCAGCACAAACTAAATTCAGTCAAGAAGATACCAGATGCGATCCGCCCACCCATCCAAGGCTACTAGAAATGAAATTTCGCATCACTCCGAAGCATCGCCCCAGAGAAGGACCACGATGACCGAGACTACGACAGCAATAAAACAAGAAAACAAGCAAAATCAAGGAAATATGAGACAGACGCAAAGCCAGACTACGATAGGAAATAAAACAGCAAAAATCAAGCAAAGTCAAGGAAAGGGAAAGACTAGACGGACGCACAGCCAGACTACGATAGGAAATAAACAAGCAAAGTCAAGGAAAGAATAGACGGACGCACGGCCAGACTACGATAGGAAATAAAACAGCAAAAATCAAGCAAAGTCAAGGAAAGACCAGAAGGACGCACAGCCAGACTACGATACAAAAATAAGCAAAATCAAGGAGAGACTAGACGGACGCGCAGCCAGACTACGATAGAAGGCAAAACAGCAAAAGTAAAGGAAATACGACAGGACGGAAAACCACCGCCCCCCCGGTTAGGACTGTCTCGGCTTTGTTAGAACCGACTCGGCTTGGTTAACTAGCTTCGGTCAGCAGGAACGTATTGTCTCGGTGTCTCGTATCTTAACAACAGAAGCGATACGATGAGATGCAATACCGCAGGACACGATACGACACGCAAGACTACGACAGCAACAATCAAGAGATGCGACAAGGAAAATCGAGGGAACACGAGTCGGACCACGACATCAAGAAAGACGATAATAACACGCACGTATGCTAGCAAAGATTCACAAAGAAAAATAAGAATCACGATCATCACCAAAACAGAGATAATAGCATACACGCGCATTAACGACGATTCAGAAAGAAAGAATAAGAATCACGATAGTCACGAAAACAGA